CACAATGAAATAATAAACATCTAACTTTCACTAAACCATAACCATCTCTGACATAAACACAATAAAATCACCTGAACACACCTTTAATCCCAACCTCCTATTGTCTTACAAGTACACCTGACTGTTTACTGTCCATATTAAATGTTACAAACTGTGAGCTGACTGAAGTTAAAGTTTGATACCTGGGAGGGTTTTATTCCTCAGACTAAATGAACTGAGCGAGCAGCACCTGAAGGCAACACCAGCATGAGACTAAGAGAAGATTATCTGAGGCTGTAAAACCGGTCAGCCAGTTAAACCAGTACAGTAAACACTGTTTGTAAAGGTGTTTGTGTTTGTAAATCACCTTATCAGATCCGGGATATGATATCTTCAGCAGATCACAGGAGCAAACACCAAGGCGGAGGACAACAACTCACGGTCCCGGAACAGGAAACGACACCTCTTCAGTGAGAGTAAATACACCTGAGAGAGAGCTAACTGTTACCTGACCACTCTGTTACACCACACAAAAGATTAACTACAGCTGGAGTTTATATTTTCACTGTAACTGAGACAGAAAGCAGCAGTTCGCCTCCGTTCAGCGGCTTAGCTAACAGGGAGCGGCACACCCAGGCTGAGTGCGCTCTGATTGGACAAGCAGCTACAGAGCCGCGTTCTGATTGGATAAGACGACTGTCAGTCACGCCCTCTTTGCTAAACGCGAATGGGTGACGTTTCTGGCTTATAAAAAGGCAGCAGCAACCAACGAGGAGACTTCCGACCCTGGCTCCTTCAGAATAAAAGCGGCGTCACAACAAATCCTTTCAAATCCGTTCTTTGCAGCAGGATTAGCTGTAATTAATCAGCTTGTAACACTTTCCTACTTTTGATTAGTTAATACACAAAATGTCATATACTGATTTATGGAGTCTATCAACCTACCTACCGATCATACCTTACGATCAGTATTGCAACAACATATTTCTTTAGACCAGTTTTAATCTGAGCCTTCCTTTAGTGAGTGTCCTAAAAATCTTCACTCAAGGTCCACTTTGTAGCCCCCCCCAAACCACATCTCAAAGTCGTCCTAAAGCCAATGGAGTTTGCATAAGAAAGTAACAGGTGGTTATATATTGTGACAACTGACAACATCCTGTTGAGGAAGACTGACGTGTTGTTAAAACCTCCAGAAAATACCTTGTAAATGGATCTTTTTTAACTGTTTTCACATTCACTTCAAGGCTGATTCATACAAGTACATTTCTGTGCTTTTACGTTGAAGGGCCACACACTCAAGCTGGAAGTACTGCTGCTGAAGCAAAAAGCACTGGAGGTGTCTAATAATGAGTCAGATGATGAGCTGTACTGACACAGCCAGAGAGAAAACAGCAAGTCACATTAAGTATAATTGAGAACACTAAGAAAGTAGGAAGAACAGAACAAATTGAACACAGCACGAGCCAATCTCCTCACAGAGAAACATACGGTTTTCTTTTATTCACCCTTTGTAGCTGAACCACAGTGGAGTCAGAAACAGCAGCAGAGGACTCATCGTGTGAGAAACAGTACAGGAAATGCCAAAACACAGAAAAAGAATGTCCTGATAAGGAAAAGGTCATAATGTACAGAACCATAGTATTAAAGCCTGTAAATCACTCACTCTCTCTCACACACACACACACACCCATCTTTGACATCATCCTTGTCTTCAAATGCTCCACCTCCCTGGAAACTATGTCCTTTAATGAGCTCTTAAATTCTGCTCAACCCTCCACTGCCTCCATCTTTACCAACATTATGCAGCTTTATCAAGCTGTGTCTAAACTCTGTTCAAACCCACAGAACTTTATTTAAAATTCCAGAGGAGGAAAGTTTCCAAAGATCCCAAATCTGTCAGATTGAATTTTAGGGAAATGTGTCTGCGATGGTGCAGTCTGAATAACATCATACAGCTTCAATGAAGAGCTGCAACAAGCTTACAGACAATATACTTTATATGATACACTCGTACAAAGTGGAATAAGATGATGAACAACCAATAGCCACTTCAGGGGAAATTAAAGGGGACATTTGATGTTATTGAATTGTTCTAATTTTATGTTAAATAAAAAAATAAATAATCTAACTCTGCAAACAGCAACAGTTCAGTTGCAAACAAGACACGACAATATAATCAATAATTGGAAGAGGGTTTATTATGCAAACTACAGGTCTGGACTGAGCTACTGCATATTTCAGCACTACGGTGACAACTGACAACAAACGAAACTGTTTAATAAATCTGTTCATTTTTAAAGTTTGCTTGTGAATAAATAGTTAAACAAATAAAAACCTATACAGACACAGAGGGTCTCCACTGCACCTGTTAATCTGCATTGCCCCCAGTGAACAGTGCTAAAAAGACATGTGACTACTAAACACTGCAGTGCAGTATAGGATACCATATACCACCTACAGGCCACTCGTTATCTACACATCCACACTTTCAGCTACCATATTTCTGGGCAGCTTAACACTACCATCCACTATGATCGATATATAATAGCCACCATTTTATTTATTTGATCAAACCTTTATTTTACCAGGCAAGACATTAGGAACAATTTCTTATGTACAACGACGACCTGGCAAGTGCCAGAACACTTCACTACCATCTTCAGACTTCCTCCTCTTATTTTAACATTATCTACATGGCATCAACTAGCATCTAAACTCTACCATCTACAGACCACTATCTACCCCCTGTAGACCAACGTCTTCAGGCAACCATCTACTATCTACAAGTGCAAACTCTACCATTTACATGTTACCATCTACAGGACACCGTCTACCAACTGTAGACTCTACTATTCTCACTCTACCATGTAAATGCTACAATCTGCAGACCATTATCTGCCAGCTACAGGGTAAAGTTGCATTATGATGCCTTAATGGTGTCTGTTTATATCTTTATGTCATGTTATAAGCGACACTTTAACAGGCTAACGTCTAAAAGTTAATGTCTATATTATAAACTGTAACACATCACCTAGCACCTAAATGCCTCCATATTCTACAGGCCGCTTTATCTTCCCCTACTGGCCATCACAGGGCACCTAAATACTACCATCTACTGACTATCCTGTACAACTGGCAGCGCACCATGCACCAGTTACCATTTACAAGCTTTTTTTTTTTTTTTTTTTTTACTGAACATCATTGTAAATAAGCGTTATCCTCTATGGTCATTTAAGGTGAATCTAAGATTGTTGATGATGGTAAACGGGCTACAACTGAATGTTTACAGGCCACTGTAGCTACAGTGTCTGTCATGTTTTGAATGCAACGTCTTTGTCACTCACCTGCAAGTTCTGCCTTCTGTCTGTCTATTGATTAGTTGGGGGGGGGGATCTCAGTAGGTGATTGACAGCTCAGTGTCAGTCATTCAGCAAAAATTGTACCTCTGTCCCAAAGTCACCCACCCAAACAGACTCACTGTTCACTCACATCCGTTGCAGAAGCCACAACACAGATACAATCATCTTTACCAACAGCCATTTATCCAAACAGTGTTTCACTTCAATTTATTCTGTCTCTCACACACACACACTATAAAACTGCATGCACAACCATTTGATCAATGTACCTGTTTGGAGGTTAACCACTTCCTGAGAGCAGCAGACGGTCCCTCTTCAGACACAACTACTTCCACTGATGATTTCTGCTACTACAAAAGTCATATAGAGACTTCATGTGTGGACTAAACAGCAATTAGAAACTGAGGATTTATTTCAAATCTGCAGCATTAAGTACATTAACATATGCTGAGAGCAGCCGTGCAGACTTATAAAATTAAGGCCATTAATGGTGAAATCAAAACTACTTTCATCTTTGATATTTTTGAAACTGTTATGAATGGTTTAAAACTTGAATATCTTATAACCTGGGGATAAATCGTGTTAACAGTTACATTCTATGCAGCAATCCATTTCTCTGCTGTTATTTTTGTTTTGTTCAGACGTCGAGGAAGAGCAAAGACTCTGCAATGAACTCCACTTGGATGGGACATAAAGGACAAAGCAGTTATTCTGAGATTGTGACATTTGTATTGTCCTGACAACTATTGAACTATGTTTACACAAACCTGATCATTGAATTCTTTCCTCCTGATAACTGACCTTAAAATAAAACCTTAATATGTGCCTGATCTATGGATTTGGGCACTTAAATTGGAATTAAAATAAATTAATCGCTATGTCCCCTTCTAGTCACAGTGAACTACTTTTACGTTCACTTGCAGTACTTTTGAGTTACCTCACAATACTGTTTACATTATCCTATCTGATCCACATCTCTGGAGGAAGCACAAGCTTCAACAATATCTACAACCACTGGTTGCATACACAACACATGTATGTAACATGATTTCACGGGAATATTAACGTTTTGCAAGGAAATGAAAAAGGTAGTTCACAAAGAAATTCTATAATTAATGCAAGGGATCTAAATGACTCATTAGCAACTCCCAGCTGTATGATAAACCACCTGGAACTTGCTGAATACTGACAAGCTGCAGCATTTTTCTGTTTTTCTGGCCGTTTATGGCACAGCTATTAGCTTCCCTACTAGTCTAGCTGTTAGCATCAGTGTGGAAAGGGTTACTAACGCTGGGAGTCATCATTAAAATGCAAAACATCCAGACTGGTGACTCTACAGAACGGACACCAGCCACTGTTCAGTCAAAAATAAACGCTACCAAGTTAACATCGAGTCTAAATACTCACAGAGGAGGAAGTTTAATTTTGATTTAATTTTAAATCAATTCTAAATCGCTAATGTAAAAGCAATGATAACTTGAGGCACAACCTGGAGCCATTTACTGGATCAAAGTTTACCTTATATTCCACTGAAGATGTTGAATTGAAGGTCATCTGTATTCCACACAAACCCCAGTCTTCTATTCAAGTTTTACAAAATACAGAAACAAGTGACTCAAAATCAATCACATAAGTTTCCATCATCAGGCAGTGAAGAGTAGGTGTGCATCAGGAATGTCCTTTTATTAGCCAAAGCAAAGGAGACTCCACATCATGTATGGGATACGATCATACAAGTTTGTTCACACTGACAGTAGAAACAAAAATGAGCTTTAAAGGTGAAAACATCCAAAACATTATCAAACATACATACAACAAAAAGCTACCAAACTAAAAAACGCTACAGACTTCATCTGAGCGCTCTACAGTCCAAACACCTATTGAGCATGTGCTGTGGAAAAGGGAGTGGGGTTGGGGTGGCAATATTCAAACACAGCAATAATGAGACAGAGGGGGAAAAGGATTCAGCAGCCCAAAAATCATTATTTACAAAGTAAAACACGAGTCAGCAATCTGTCCATCCCACATCCTCTACATAGCAACGGAGCACTGTTGCAACACTGAATTGTGTCAACATTTTACCATAGCAACAGAGTGTCAGCCTTTTACAATGGCAAAAAGCTTGTTATCAGTAAAGATTTTTACCATAGCAACGGGGCATGTCAAAATTTCACCACAGCAACAGAGCATAAACATTTGATCATGGCAACATAGCTTTTTATCATAATTTTACCATAGCAACAGAGAATGTGAAGACTTTACCACAGCAACAGAGCAACAAAATGTCACTGTGATAGAAAAGCTTTTCATCTACAGCATGTTTTACCATAGCAACAGAGCATGTGAAGATTTTAGCGTAGCAACAGAGCATGTAAAGATTTTAGCAACAGAGCATGTAAAGATTTTAGCAACAGAGCATGTAAAGATTTTACCATAGCAACAGAGCATGTAAAGATTTTACCATGGCAACAAATTTTATCATAGCAACAGAGCATGTAAAGATTTTACCATGGCAACAAATTTTATCATAGCAACAGAGCATAAACATTTTATAATGGCAACATGCTGTGGCTTTTCATCATGATTTTACCACAGCAACAGGGCATACATTTTAAACCACAGCAGCACAGCATATTTAAGCGCTTTACAGCTACTTTGTCAGCCTCATTATAATCATCGTGTTACCATAGCAACAAAACAGGTGAGTATGTTCAGTGTGTCAACATGACGTGACAAAAAGCGGCATTAGAAACAGGATCAGAAAAGACCAAAATCCATCAACATCATCATCGGTTTGTGCCACCAGAGTCAGTGGAGGAGCTGCACAAAGAGCAAAGTCTGGATCAGTCGTTCCACTTGACAGACTGCAGGGGGGGCGTGGCCATTATTTACACACAGGGGGAGGGGCTTCAGTAATGACTGACAATCAATGAGCACGGCAAGATGTAAACTGAGATACTAACAGTTGGGTTGGAGTCCAGACTCAGGTATGGTTTATGTTGACTTTGTTTCACCTGGATGGTTGAACCAGGTAGGTGTAAATTTATTTTTATTTTTATCTACAATCAGTCTGTTTTGGGATTTGGGATTTAACCCAGGCTTATTTTGACCTTGCGTGCTCCAATTGGTCGGTCATTGAGGTCCATGACGGCAGCAGTGGCCTCCTCGTGGTTCTGAAAGGCCACCATGGCCTCGCCAGTTGGCAGGCCTTTCTCACTGAATTGTAGGCAGACTGAGCCTTGCAGCACCTGGTAGCCGTAAAAGAAGTCCATAATCTCATCCACAGTTACAGTGAACGGCATATTCTGAAGCTTTACAATGGTTGGGCCAGCAGCACCACGTTGACTGTTGGGATTGTTAGGTCCCCCAGGGGCCGGCTGGTTACGGAGGCCGTCAGCTCCTGGAGTGAACACCTGCTGTGCACCAGTAGCCCCGCCCCCAGGACGTCCTTGGTTGTTATTAGCCCCTCCCCCACGGTTCTGTCCTCCTCCACCTCCTTTTCTGTTGCCGTTGTCAAAAGGCACCAACCCTCTCAGTCCATCTTGGTTGAAGGGGGCTCCTCCTGCAGCGCCAGGTCGAAAGCCGGGTGGCTCCAAGATGGAAGCTCCAGGAATACCAGCAACAAGTGGAGGGGCCACGCCTAGATTCACGTCCCCTAGCCCTGCAGCCAGAGGAGGGAGAGGAGGAGGGCCTGCCAGCCCATTTCCTGGGGCTGAGAATGGAGTCACAAAGGGGGCACTATTGAGGTTTCCCATGGTGTTTCTGAGAAAGTTAAACTCTTCACCGCTAATACCAGCAAATGGGTTGATCTGGGGTTGCTGGGCAGTGGGCTGAGGTTGCTGATGCTGGTTCTGATTTTGGTTCAGCTGGTTCTGGTTCTGGTTGCGTTGGCCCCTCTTGTTCTGAGGAGGGGGATTCCTCTCAATTTCCTTCATCTGGTCAAATGTCACCAGGTGGACAAAAGCATCTCGGCCATTTAGTTTTTGGCGGTGCAGTCTCTCAGCTTTACGGGCATCTTCTTCAGTCCGCAGCTGGAAGATCGCTTGGCCTAAACCATTGCCATGACTATCTGTCAGAACTTTCAGGGTGTCCTCGTAAAGCCCCACACCCTCCAGGAAGGCACGGACATCCTTCTTGGAGACATTGTAAGGGATGTTGGTGATGTGGGCACAGTTCCTAGGAGCTTTCATGCCATCCTGGTTCTTGCCATCACCCTGTGCGGCTTCACGTTTGCGGATAGTGTCAATCTTTTCAAGCATTCCCTTACGGTTGATTGGGTGGACCTGGATGAAGCGGGTGCCCATGTACTGCATATGAGCACCCAGAGCAGTCTTGTAGTCCTGTTCTGTTTTAAACTCAAGGAAGCCCTCTCCTGTGGCTCTCCCATTGGGCCCGTAGGCAATGTAGATGCTGTCCTCTATGATGGCCAAATTGTTAAAGAACTCCTTTATCTGTTTCTTGTCTGCCTCGTAGGGAAGGCCCTTCAGGTAGACACAGAACTCCTGCCGGTGGGGAGATCGTGACCTTCCTCGCTGATCCCTGCCTCCGGCCCCTGACCCAGCATTACCACGGCGGTGCTGCTGGTCCTGTGCCTCATTATTTGATTTGCCGCTGTTGTGAGGATTATGGCCTGTCACACTATCATTGAGGCTGGCCCATTGCCGCTCAGAGCCAGGGGTGATCTCAATGAACCTTTGGCCCATCATGCCACCTCCCCGTTTCACAGCTTCGAAGCTGTCCTGGGGTGAGTAGAACTTGACCATAGCCCTGCCAGATGGGCGGCCCTGTCCATCCCTCAGCAGGCGAACCCCATCCACCCCCAGACCCCGGAAAAAACCCCTGACATCCACCTCTGAACAGGAGAATGGGAGGTTCTGCAGGAAGACAAATAACTCATCAGGACTGGCCACTCCTGCTCCACTAGCCGCAGCAGCAGCAGCCTTCATATGGGCCTGGAGGCCAAGAGAGGCCAGGGGGGAGAGAGGGTTGAACAGCATGGGGTTGGGGGTTCCAAGAGGGAGGCCAGAGCCAAGCCCTCCTGGAGGAGGTAGGGAGGGGTTAAAGGGAGGCATGGAGGACATGTGAGATAGGTGGGACATAGGAGGAACTGGAGGTCCTTGGGACAGTGGGGAGACAGTAGGGACAGGAGGGAGGGAAGACACTGGAGGAGGAACTGGAATAGAGGGAAGAGTGGGCATGGGGGGCATGGAGGGCATGGAAGGCATGCTTGGAAGTGGAGGGATGGGTGGGGGTCCTGCATTGAGCGATGCCAGAGCTGTGGTGATTGTGGGGGCAGAGCTGTAGCTGTTGGGGAAGCTGGGCACCACACTGGCGACTGCCTTGTTGCTTTGTGGAGATGAGCTTGCTGCTGTTACTGAGGCCTGGGTGTTACTGAAACCCTGGTTTCCATGGCTACCACTTCTCCCTCCTGCCCCTGGCTGCACTGTGGGTATGGGGGCAGCCACTTGTCGGTTGGCATTTCCTGCTGTAGATGCAGCTGTCTCTACAGCACCTGCCCCAGCCTCAAACCTGCGGCGGCTGAGTTCAATCATGTTCTGCATTTCTGTTTTGCTACTAAGCAACAGCGACACTTTGGATCCCTTAATAGACCCTCCTGTACGCATCATCCCCAGCCGAGCATCTTCATCAGTGGCAAAGACGATGAAGGCCTCGCCATGCTCACCCCCCACGATGTGCACTCCCCCGTCAGGGATGGTGAGGCCAGAGAAGAAGTGTCTGATGTCCATGGTGCCGGCCACTATGGGCAGACCTTGCAGCCTGATGACTACTGCCATACTGACTGCTAAACAACAGCCCTACAACCTGGGGAGAAAGCAACACTACGGTCAGATGAAGAGCATAAGAGGGCAACCAGTGGTTTCCAGATGTTTCCTCAGGAAACTCAGGTCTGACTTCGCAGGCCAAAAAAAGGCTTAGCCAACAATGCTTACATTTCAGTTTCTTCAGAATAACCTAGAGACCATTTTTATAAACTTTGTGCACCCGTTTTTGGGTCCTGACATTTGGAAACCAGTGGTGTTTGGAAGGGGTTTGATGGGGGTGAAACATTTGTAGGAAACTGACAACAAAGCTAAACTGAAACAGTCTCCAGACATCTGCAAGCTTTAAATAAGTGATTAACTTTTCAGATCACAGCAGACTTTGTTAGACCCCAACAGAAGCAATCTTAAGCATTAGCATAGCTCCGCTGTTCCTAAATTTTGTGTGTTGTAAAAGAAACATAGCAAGAAATTAAGGAATGGAACTGACATCAATAAACAAATATATGCACATAAGACACACGCACAAATATTTATGAACATACATATACATACACACACACACACACACACACACACACACACACACACACACACACAGGTTCTCTCCTCAACTGCCTCTGAAGTATTGCAAATTCAGAGCAATTCAAACTGGGGAAAAAGTGTTTCACAGTGCAAAACAATTCAAAATTTACCATCTGTGATATCATTCATTACTGAGTCTGGCCAAGATTTTGCTAGCTAGCTTACTGTACCATTTTTTGTGAAGCAAGCATGCAACAGGGTCAGGTCACATTCTCTAACTCCACTAGTGAAGTCTGATTGATCTAATTGACTCACACAGTTACTCTTTTCAATGTATGCAGACCTTCAATGTACCTCATGGTTGGTTATAGTTAGATCCTTTTCCTTTGTGTGTTTCAGTAACACCTCATGTATTGCAGATACACAAGAAACTTCCTAATGCAACTTGTTTTGTTGAAAATTAACGTCTACAGTAAGCTTCAAACAAAGTGCATGTCGAATTGTCTGACAGTATCTGAAACCTAATATCCAAAAGGTTAAATCAACAATTTTTGTAAATTGAAGCAAACAATAAAATGTGGGATAACATATCATACAACCCAATTTGTTTGAAGATTACTGAGGACTTTAAATCTCAATATGAGCTGCTCTGTTTATCAGTCCCTGAATGCAACCAAGAGGTTTTATGCTATTTGGTTCCTTAAAGTAACCCTTACTGTCGTCTACAACGCAGTACAAAGATATTGCTTGTAGTTTCGGATAAGTCTGAAATATTTCGTGCAACAGTAAACCTTCATGAATCTCATGCAACTTGCGACTCACCAATGCAACTAAGCTGTGTATAGTTTCACTGTTTAACAGACAGGGGATTTCTGCAGGAAAACTGAAACCTGGTGAAAAGGTAGAAAACAAACATTCCTGTTCAAAACATTTGATGAAATTCAACCTTACAGAACATGCTTTATATTTCCAACGACGGGCGTGTGTTGGTGTTTTCAGCAGTTGACAGCTTGTGCTTAAGTCAGTGTCAGTAACTGGCTCTCATTCAGTATTCGATAAAATGTTGAATATTAACAAAGCATGGTGTAATGTATGATTTCAGCTGTACTACTAAAAGGCTATCTTTAACCAAACACAGATCTCAAACCTAAACAAACCTCAGAATCTGACTGCGGTAGCTTTCCTAGCTGACAGCAGAAAGACACACCTGTCCAAAACCAAAACCCATCATGACTAAAGCCGGCAGTGTAACAATATCAAACTCTCCTAAGAAGAAGTACCAAGTATGAAACCGAAGATAGGACTTGCTGAGCTCCAACAAGCCAGCAACCACCTGGAAACCAGCCAGCAACACCCTATAAACACCAAGCAACAACCCAGGACCTATCAGGCAACCAGGAGGCCAGCAACAACACAGAGGTGAGCAGGACCGATCCTGCTTCCTGAATCCTCAAGCAGCACCAAAAGAGCAGGCAGCACTTCAGCAACTTCACCCAACCCAAGCAACACGTCAACCAGCAAATCTGCAACATTGTCAACAAAACATTAGCAACATGTTATCAAAAGCAACAGCAATAACTTATCAACCAGAGCAATAAGAGCAATGTCATCAACATTTTAACAAAAGCAGTGTCAGGTACATGTAAACCAAAGCAACATTAGCATCATGTCAACCAGGGCAACATTAGCATTACATCAACGAGAGCAATATTAGCATTATGTGAACCAGAGCAATATCAGCAACTGATTGCCAGCACAACACCAAAGACATCAGCTGATCAGAGGAGAAAGCAAACAGAAGCAAGGTGCAGAGCAACGTGTAAGCTAACACGGATAAAAAAAAACATGTTCAACTGAGCGACAGCAGGTGGAGCAATGCTCACTGCTTCCACAATCCTGTACTCCGCAGATGTCTCTGGATCCTCAGACACAGCTTCAGGGGTTCTGTGCTGCAACTAACCCTGATCCAGGAACAACATCAGACCGTACATTATGATCCTGAACAGACAGCTCGCTCAACTCTGACCTCTCAGTCATTTCAGATTGATGAAAAATGCTGAAAATACAATTCATCATAATGCTAGACATCATCATCATCACCATTCATTTCAGTGCTCCACCTCAGCACAGAAAAATCACATCCAACAATGACAGCTTAACTAATGCTTCTTCCACTTTGAATGGATTTTTAACCTGGACGTCCACACCTCTTGTTGGTGTCAACCTGCTAACAGTCTGTGAGAAACATCAACAGCAGCAAGAGGATAAAACACAGCAGGAGAGGAAACGGCAACAGCTCATAATGTCAGAGACAACCAGAGCATCCAAAGTGAGGTGAAAGGGTTCAATTGAAGCCGCAGTTTGCACTCACATAAAACCAAGAAACAAAATGGAGCTGATAGAAGACAGAAAATAATGTCCTTTAAAAACAGGCAGAAAACCAGAAGATGATCAAGACAGCAAATTCAGGATCAAAGAGCAAAAACACTGCCTTGATTTCTCAGTTTACAGCTGAAACACAGAACTGTCCACATGCTGTCGGCCTCAAAACACAGCAAACATAGTGGAATTAAACGAGAGAGAGTGGAACGCCATCCACGGACCAAATAACTCAAACACAAAGAAACCTATCTGAGAACAAGGATGAGGGAATCTCCTCACGTCAGCCAACTTGAAGCTCTAATCTCAACAGAGAGGACAATGAGACAGGATCGGGCATGATAGCGTCTGTAAAAAAAAAGCCATTCGCTGCCCCTTATTAAACCCTTTAGGGATAAATAACAGACATTATCCATCCATCTATTTCACAATGACTGACTGTACACAACTCCACTGACCTGCACAAAACAAAGACAAAAACAGAAACAACTGACATACAGGAAACGTACGGTAATTAATCTCAGTTTCCAAACGGATTCACCACATGAGGTATCATTCACTGATTAACTATAGCCCCTTTCAGATATGCATCTTGTTACATGCAACTTTATACGCGAGTCTCATGTTTGATTAAACCCGTTACTTTGATGTAAAAGTCACGACAGTAATGTGATGAGGCCGAACCTGTAAAATATCTAAAATAAATAAATAAAATAATTTAATAAAAGAGGTAAATCAGTTTTCTTCTGTTCATAAACAAGAAAACACTGTGAATAAGCCAATTTTAATTATTTTAGGAGTCTAATCAATCTGAAAAAAAGTTTACAAAAGGACAAAAAAAAAAAATAACGATAACCACAATAACGATTAAACATTCAGTCTCAGAATATCACGCTCTTATAATATATAATACGTTATAATATATTTATATTGGTCATTACAGGACTAACGATTCTTTAAAAATCGAATGAAAAGTCGTCCGATACTAATTTTCCGATTACTGATCACCTGTTGATTGATCCCATGTCTGAAAAGGGCTAAAGTCAGTCAGTCAGTCAGTCTGTGTGCTGAGTGTTGAACCCAGACTCCATGACAACCGCTGACATCTTAAACAACTTTCTACCTGTTCAGTTCAGCCCCGGTGCACTGTGACGTCTCTGCCCGGGGGCGTGGCCTGTGGGCAGCAACCGCAGTGTAATCAATAATAAAAACTCATCTATAGACTAATCAAACCAGAGCTCAAACACCTCCTCATCCTGTTCGTACAGTGAAGAAACTACAGCTGATGCGTAATTTTAAATAAAACAAATTAAAAAAAAATACATGAAAACATTAAGTGTGTCGGTTAGTTAGCTAACGTAGCAGCTACGTATACGACCGCGTTTTAAACAAACCCTGCCTTTAAAGTTTTTACACAATCATTCATGAAAATAAAACAAATATCCGACACGGAGCCTCTGAAGAGAGACTCCAGCTAGCTACTGCCTAACAGAAAGGGTGAATGGAGCTAGTTTAGCTACCTGTGCAGGCTAACCCTCCGTTAGCCACCTAGAGCTAAGGTTGTGGATTTGCTTTGTGTGTGTGTGTGTGTGTGTGTGTGTGTGTGTGTGTGTAGTGTGTGTGTGTTGGAGCGGAGAAGCGGGCAGGACGCACGCTTTTTAGCGGCTCCTCTCGCCCTCTGCTCCCGGTGTGAGTGCGTCACTGAGCGGGCTGCCGCTGCTGGATTCTTACCGAGAAATCTGTCAACAAACACACTGAGGTTTTAACTCATGAACGGAGCTCTCTCTTCTCCTCTCTTCTCTTCTCTTCTCCCTGCAGGTCGCGACGGCACGAAATGTCGGCGCAAGTGCTGCGATAACACGCGTGATACCGCGAGATTACGGCGTGCGTTTCCCGGACGTCGGCTCAGAGCGACATCGCCCCCTACCGGTTGAACCGGGCTACTTTATTGGAGAGTAAAGGTCCAAGGAGTTCTCTAATTCCCCTCACAGAAAAATATACTCTTTAAATTATGCTCCAGTTTTTTAAAAACATTTGCTGTTTGACTTCCAGAAGTAAGGATCATTATGAAATTAACATTAACCACAGGGATTTACATTGCCCTCAATGTACATACACAGAATAGCAGAGATTAACTGCTATGTACTGATATATATATAAACGTAAACAACAACAATAACATTTGTAGACAATAGTGCAATGGTGCAGGGTGCAAAGGATGCTGCAATAAATATTTTTGTTCTGGTATTTAGTGATGATATTCATGCATTTTAAAAAGAAAATTGAATTTCAGCAATAAAAATAAATGTTTTACAGCCACAGTGAATGTTTGAGTCACGAGGTTACTGCACTGATACACTGTTTGTTTCGGTGTGATAGGTCTGCAGGGATGTTTCCTGCCTGTTTCCTGACTCTGGACATGTACACGTCCTGACTGACAGATCCGAACCAGACAGTGATGGATGGTGCTGAGAACAGCCGGAATAATGGCTGTGTAGAAATGGATCAGCAGCTCCTTCGGCAGGTTAAGCTTCCTGAGCTGGCACAGGACGTACATCCTCTGCTGGGCCTTCTGGATGATGGTATTCTGCAATCAATACTGGCATAATTGTCCATTTTAGAAGAATATTCCTTAGTCCTTACTTCAAGCACTAATAAAAATGAGCTTGCAGAATATTACCTGCCTCTACACTGACCTCAACCCCATCCAGTCTTTTGGGATTGAACAGGAACTGTAAGCCAGGTCTTATCAGCCAACATCAGTGTTGAATCAGAAGAGTGAAGGCTGTTATAGCAGCAGATAAATGCCCCTGGTTTTACCTCTTTACTATCACACATGGCTACGTAGTTATTTACAGATCAAACCTTTACCAACATAATGTGAGCGATGCAAATCCACAAGCCCCAGGTTCACTTTACTGCATTATTACTTCATCACAGGCCCTGTGACAAAAAATAGCTTTAATATCTGAATTATTTAAACTTATATAGCATAACAGGATGCTTACACGTGACATGAGGCATTAAAAGGGGCCCGCACTTTATTTTTGACAGCGGGGCCACTAATGAGATTACACTGAGCACATATGACCTAATAAAGTACTTAACAAAATTATAGGAATATTAGTATAACCAAATTATATATAAAGACAGTAAACTTGTATTTTTATGTACATTGCTTCTGATGTTTAATGAACAGTAGCAAATTGATATTTTTAGATAATACCTTTACAATAACCAATTTTATGGTATTTTTTTTGTTGTCTGTGTTTTGTATTCTTCTGTATGTTGAATTTATGCAGTGCTACTAGCTCAGCCTATACATGTTGTGGTATTTACTGTAGAATGTATCCATGAAATGTAAATACGTCAATTAAAAATAAACATTAGAACAAAACTTAAGTTTATTGCATAATCACGAAGCAGCACTTTATTTGGATAATAATGAGCGTAACAGTAGAAGACAATAGATGCAGGAGTCTAATAAATATGATGTGTATAGGCTCAGCTGACTACATCCAGGAACACGATACTTTCAAGATCACCTTCAGATTCTCGTCAACATTGTACGTGACACTGAGTTGGTTTTATTCTCCGCCATCTTAAAAATTCAGCTGTCAAATCACGGCTACAGTCTTACAGAGTGTCCCAGGCTTAAAGAAATTAATCAAACCGCGGCTGCTAACACTGACATAATGCTGCTGTTTACGGAGTACTGAAAACTCATGTGAGAAGAAAAACTGCGTGTCTGGGTGAGTTTTGAGTGAGCGAGGGAGGACAGTGCATCACCTGTGAACAGCAGGAGACAGAATGTGAAAGTGAAGAGGTCTGATTCATACGATTATTAGTGAATCATCAAATCGACTCAGTAAATTTAGGTCTGCTGCCTTTAGTTACCCATCAGCATCCCTGGTGACGCAAGAACTGATCTCATTGTGTTTCTTGTCACTTGGGTCGTTGCCTGTCTCTCTTAAGAGTTCAGATACAGGACTCTGGTGTCACTGCTTCTGCTTGTTAGCTAACTGAGGTACAACAGAATGAATACAACAAGCAGAAGTGTCTATGTGTTGGTCAACTCTCTGAGCAACATCTCCTGACAGAGCAACCTGGGGAGCTTCTACAGAGACAGAGAGCTACAGCTACAAACAAGACTTCAAGTCGGGCAGGAAGTTTGTGCGTGTTTGTATACAGGAAGGGAAAGCTGGTCCGTTCCCAGAATTCTCTGGGAATCATCGTCGTCGTTGTCGTTGTCGTTGTCAGCCAGGAAGTAAACCGGAAGCGGGAGGAGTCTAGTGCTGAGTCCACTTGATGCTCTTCAGATCGATGCCTTCTTGAACCATCTCCCACAGAGGACTGCAAACACAGAGAGAGAGAGAGAGACAGAGAGAGAGAGACGATCAAGTTAATATCTGGGACTAAAAAGAAGAGAGATGAAGCTGAGAGTCGGATATTACTTTGGAGCGTACTATTACTATGGTGTTATTGTTATTAATAGAACTGATGGATAAAACTACCAACATAAGATCAGTTAGAATAAACCATCATTATCAGTCCAGCTGAGCTCACCTCATCTCTCGGAGTCTGCTGACCTGGTGGATGCATTTTTCTGCTGTGTAGTCCACCTCTTCTTCAGTGGTGAACCTGCCAATACCAAACCTAACCACACACCCCCCCACACACACACACACACACACACACACAGATTTACATTTACAGTCAACCGACCCCACATCACGACCACTATTCAACGTGAGTCAGTACACGTGCTCCATCATTCGTGAAAATCTTGATATCGATTTGTGACAGTGGCTGGATAGCTCTCTTGTTTTGTTGTTAAATATACTGTCAAATTATAGCTGTCAACTACTTCACGGAGGCAACCGTCAGACAGTTCTGGCCTCCACATGGTTCATTAATTCCTGATAATGGATCCCTTAAATAATCAACGGAATAACAGAGAGGATGGCAAGTGTTTGTACCTGATGGAAGAGTGAGCCAGGTCTTCATCCGCTCCGATCGCTCTGAGGACGTATGATGGCTCCAGAGACGCTGATGTACAGGCACTGCGCGCACACACAGACACAAAGGAAATCAGTCATCTTTTATATATCAGTTAAATCTCGTCTGTGGAGTCACCAAAACACACTGTGTGTATCCCTGAGGTCTAACAACATGCTAAACGTATCTGTATCTATATAGAGCCATTGCTCCATAGTGCTACTAATGGTGAAAAAAACAATCCACAGGGCACTACATTTACATATATTAAGATTGTTAGACCAAACAGCTTCAAGCCTGTTTTTTTAAACTGTTTTTAAAGTGTGTGTCTGACCTCCCAGATGACAGAGCGACATCCTTCAGCGCCATCAACAGACTCTCTCCCTCCACATAGGCAAAGGACAGGTTGACACAGCCTGAAAAGCACACACACAGTCACTGAAGGAAGACATTTGGAGTAACTTGTGACAGTGGTGTGTTTTTGTTTCACTTCTATGTGTGTGTGTGTGTGTGTGTGTGCGTACCAGGGTAGCGTCGTACTGGATCTCCATTCATGATGACGTCCGGAAGCCCAGCCATGATCTTCTGGACCAAACGATTAGCCAGCATGGAAACTCTGTTATGGTCGTACTGCGCACATACACAAACACACAGACACACACATTAGGTCTCAGGGTGTTTGGTTGTGTTAGTTGAGTTTCAGGATTTTTTTTGGGTGCGTTTGTTTTACCTCCATCTCGTGCTGGGCGATGCTGCAAGCGGCTCCCAGCCCAACAGCCAGCGGAGTGGGGACAGTGCCGGAGCGCAGCCCCCTCTCCTGCCCGCCTCCGTTCTGAATCGGCTCCATACGCACTCGGGGCCGGCGGCGCACGTACAAAGCACCCACACCTGCACACACACACAGATTGGCAAATATAACTTCCAAGCAGGTCAGCAGGACCTCAAGGATCTCAACCCTCTTTCTGTTCACTCAGTACATGCTGCCGTTTCAGGTCAGATTGAAGAGTAGAGTTCAGTATTTGTATTTTAACTGCAACTTCAACTGTTTGCAAAATTTAAGCAGCAAGTTCTTGTAAATTTCCTTCAGAAAATTAGCTTTTATAGTTTTGGCAGTATAGCGTTTGTGTGAAAGCGGCTGTATAGATAAACTGCCTCACTAAGTGTTAATGAGCTAACACTTAGGTCTATGTTCATGCTTACCTTTGGGTCCGTAGATCTTGTGGCCGCTGATGGACATCAGATCAATCTTACAGTCGGTGACGTTGAGGGGAATCTTTCCGACAGCCTGAGCAGCATCAGTGTGAAAGAAGACTCCTTTAGAACGACAAATCTGACCTATGGAGAGGAAGGTTAGAGATCAATGAATCAATAGTTTTGATCAGAACACTGAATAAGATCAGGGAAGATCATATATATATAGATGTTTCAGATCTTGGCCAAACGTGGGGAGTAAGTAACACGTGTGTTGCCGTGGTTACCGATCTCCTCGATGGGCTGTCTCACTCCGATCTCGTTGTTGATGGTCATCACCGACAAGAGAGAGGTGTCAGGGCGGATGGAGGCCTCCAACAGCTGAACACACACAGACACACACATGACGATGACTTCTGTGTGTCCAACGTACAATATGTTCACTGTTTATTATCTCTGTGTTCTGTTTACCTCCAGGTCCAGCAGTCCGTTCGTCTGGACCGGCAGGTATGTGATGCTGAATCCTTCGGACTCCAGAACCCGACACGAGTCCAGAACACATTTATGTTCAGTCTGGGTGGTGATCACATGGCGCTTCTTGGCCTGGTAGAACCTGGCCACGCCCTGCAGGAGAAGGAGAGGCGGTGTCACTACTTACAGCACAACTTAACATTACTTTTTTTGTTTACTTTCACCTTTTCACTGTTCTTACTGCGAACCAAAAACAGGATAAAAAAGGATAAAAAAGAATAAAGAAGGATAAAGAAGGATGTAGTGGTGAGAGAGGTTTTTTTTTTTTTAACCTTGATAGCCATGTTGTTGGACTCGGTGGCTCCACTGGTGAAGATGATCTCTCTGGGATCTGCTCCAATCAGATCAGCCACCTGCTGCTCAGAGAGAAAGAGAGAGACAACACACAGTCAGTGTCTCTCGCTCAAATTAAGATTTAATACACTCAGCTCGTTGTTACAGTTTAAATAGAAAAAAGAATATGTTGTGTGTCTCTACCTTCCTGGCCGTCTCCATGGCGCTCTCACTCTCCCAGCCGTAGGCGTGTGTCCTGGAGTGAGGGTTACCATAGTAATTCACCTGGTAGGGCAACATGGCATCCAGTACGCGGGGGTCCTAAACACACACACACACACACACACACACACACACACACAAGTTAAACTGTAAGTGTAAGTAACTCTCTCGACTTGGACATCAGCTGGTAAAGCTTGTAACCATGACAACGTGGTAGTTAACGGTTACCATGGGCGTAGTGGCCTGGAAGTCCATGTAGAGGGGGCGGGGCTCATCTTTCTCCAGTTCATGCTTCTTTATCAACACTGTAGCACAAAACAACAACAGACAGACAGACAGACAGACAGACAGACGGACGGTCAGTCAGCTGGTTTTACTCAGAGTTTAATCAGATCTTTAAGGTTCTGGACTGAAACACTGAGTCTCCTCTGTGACAGGCAGGTCAGTAACTTGTTGAACTGTGTCTGTGGAGCCGAGTGCAGAAAAGTGAAAGAATTCTAAACGTGAACACGGTATCAGGTATCATGTTGGTACCTAAAAATACGTGTATGCCATCTTGATTGTTATTATCTTTATATATATATATATCTATTGTGTTGAGTGTGTTTTAGATAATCAGCTCTCATTTCAGCAAACTACAATCCGACCCCCCCATCAGTTTACTGTGGTATGCTACTTACTATAGATTTTGCCCTGACCTTTAACTGCATTCTTCAGTGCGGTCATTTGATAATAAACTGAATCTTTATAAGGGGTTTTGTACTACAGTGGAGCTCATACTGGATTTATGATATGGTTGGTAATCAAAATCTCAATATGGCTATCTGCAATTAACAAGTTATTTTTCAATAAAAGGTAAATGTGTGACAAAACAGCATTATAATTAAGTACTTTAGTGCTGCAGAGGTGCCCTGGTCTACAAACTTTAAGAAGACTTTATTTGGTACAGACCCCCAAAAAGTTCACATCATCATAAATGTAATAGTTTTTTTGTTTTGTTGTGAAAATTCAATGTGTGGTGCAAAAATGATCCTTCCCACACAATATCTGTCAAAATAATAGTAATATGATGTTTTTACTACATACAGGCCAATATCGATATTTGAGAGTTAAAAAAATAATTCAGATAAAAATATATCAGCAGATGTTCATTTGTAGTAAATGACCATAAACTGATCCATAAATGTGGTTCTTAAAGAATAGTGACCAAAAAAGGTCAGTTTGAACAAGTATTCAAAGAAAACACAAACACCTTTACCTTTTAAGATCAAAAACAAAATTATAAATGTCATTAAAACCAGGTAATAAAATAAAAACCGCAGAGAGCTGATAAATGACTTGAGTCATAAATCAAGTATAAAAGTTATTTTCAGTTTTCTGTCAACCAGCTAACATTAGTGCCCTTCATGTTTTTAAGCGTTTTATAGCATCATTGTACTCTTTTATGTACCAGACGACTCATTATGTAACGTTTAGTAAAGTTTCATCGCTCAAGTTTATAGCTGCTGTAAACTGCGTCACTCTCGGGATTAGCTCCATGCTAGCTGCTCTGTGAGCCCCGAGAACCGGGCTGCTTGGCTCCGGACGGCCGGTACCTTTCTGTGCTGTGCTAGCGGCTCTCCGGTCGGAGCCCAGCCGGAGAGGGATCCACGACACCGGCCTGAAGAGCCGGGAGGAGACGGTCCTGCTTGGGGAAAGCATCTGTACGGCGTGCTGGTTTCACCTGGAGACCCGCTGACCTCCGACAACACGCTGACCCGCGAACAAAACAACCGGGTAGCACCGGGTCGAAGCGGTTCAAACTACCGGCGGCTGACGGGGGGGGGTGAAGAAAATGATTCACGATTTAAGACTGAATTTTAAATGTGAACGAAGCTGGGTTTGATTCAAGAAACGCTGCCGCCTGTCAGTTGCATCCACATTACAACACAATCCGACAGTGTCAAGGTAGAGCATGCTAACAACGAACACTTCCGGCGATGACTTTCAAAATAAAATATTCTACTGTCGAGTGGGAGTTTTATTTATGTAAAAAGCACTACTTTCCCCCTTTTTCTATTCAAAATGTTTTTTTTCAGCTAATAAATGTATGTTGTGTACACAAAATGATATTAATTATTTCACTTTGTTTGGTTTTCTGAAGCTTTCTTCGTCCTCTCTGCAGCTACTTCCGGTGTCTCGCTGTAGCTTGACGCAGCTCTGCGTCACTGCTGTTTCACTGTTGCACAAGAAGCGGAAACAGGGGCGGGACTTCCTCTGGACGAGCTGTGCTCTCATTGGTCGATGTACGTTGTTTTGGTCCTGTTTGAGGCGGGGCCAATGTCTTTCTCTGTCCTCTGATTGGTTTAAAACAGGCGTTTATAAAACATCAGTTAAACTTTACATTTTATACATTTTATACATTTTAGAGCATTTTTTATTTTGTCCTGTGTCCAAAAGATTTTGCTATAAAGAATTTTATTTCACTAAAGATAAATGACTTTCTCATATATTTTTTTTTAAACATTTATTTCCTGATGTTTTGATTTATGACCCCCTTTTGTAATTCTTGCATGGTTTTATTTAGTTTCTTATTTACTCCTGGAGATTAAGATATTCTGTCCATTGTAAGTTTCCATGTGTTTTTATTTCTATAAATTTATTTTCATGTTTATTTCACGTATGTATGTACGAGTTCTAGTATATTTGTTATTGTCTGTTTAACAATAAAATAAAAATAAATCCCTCTCTCATAATGCATCTCTTATTCCTCGACCCAGTCACATACACGCAGATAATGTGAGAGTTGTTTTAAGAGACAGACAGCTTCCTATCTGCAGTCAGGTTTCATTCAATATATAATAACTTTAATATTTTTATTATTTCACCATTAAATGTCGGTCACATATCTTCCACACCAGCAGGTGACGGTAATGCACCAACTCCTAAACCACCAGTAGAAGAAGATGAAGATCCGGACTGGTTGTGGCAGCAATGCTCATTAACTGAGGAAGCTAGTTTATTTATTTTTAAATAGTTTTTTTTTTTTTTTTTTCCTGCAGCGTGAGGTGAGAAAGAAGAGAGGTGGACCTCACGTTCAGGTGAGGTTGTTTGTTGTTTTCTTTTAAGCGACGTAAAGTCAACGTGTTACCCGAGGCTAGTTAGCAGAAGCTACCAGCTCAGTGTGTTGCTGTGGGTTGGTGATGAGCTCTGTGGAGGAAGTTAGTGAAGTGTCTCCTGCGTTAACATCGTTACAGGTTCAATCGAGCACAGTTTGGTTTCTTACGTTAACTACGTTACTAACTTACGTTACTACGTTACTACGTTACATGTGGCTGACGGGTTTTAAACGCACTTCCTGTCCTGATGTTTGTACTCAACGAAGCACGACGAGGATAAACTACCAGCGTGTTTCCTTCACCGAGTGTCTTCATGTTAGTTACTTTATATAGAGAGACACCTGGGAGTTTGTTGTTGTCTCTATCTGGACACCTGGGAGTTTGTTGTTGTCTCTATCTGGACACCTGGGAGTTTGTTATTGTCTCTATCTGGACACCTGGGAGTTTGTTATTGTCTCTATCTGGACACCTGGGAGTTTGTTATTGCCTCTATCTGGACACCTGGGAGTTTGTTGTTGTCTCTATATGGACACCTGGGAGTTTGTTATTGTCTCTATCTGGATACCTGGGAGTTTGTTGTTGTCTCTATATGGACACCTGGGAGTTTGTTATTGTCTCTATCTGGACACCTGGGAGTTTGTTATTGTCTCTATCTGGACACCTGGGAGTTTGTTATTGTCTCTATCTGGACACCTGGGAGTTTGTTATTGTCTCTATCTGGACACCTGGGAGTTTGTTATTGTCTCTATCTGGACACCTGGGAGTTTGTTATTGTCTCTATCTGGACACCTGGGAGTTTGTTATTGCCTCTATCTGGACACCTGGGAGTTTGTTGTTGTCTCTATATGGATACCTGGGAGTTTGTTATTGTCTCTATCTGGATACCTGGGAGTTTGTTGTTGTCTCTATATGGACACCTGGGAGTTTGTTATTGTCTCTATCTGGACACCTGGGAGTTTGTTGTTGTCTCTATCTGGACACCTGGGAGTTTGTTATTGTCTCTATCTGGACACCTGGGAGTTTGTTATTGTCTCTATCTGGACACCTGGGAGTTTGTTATTGTCTATGGACACCTGAGGGGTATTGCACAAAACCAGGATAAGGGATTAAGCCGGGATATGTTGGTTATCCTGGCTTAATTTAGCCTCAAGTCGGTTGCATGAAAGCAGGTAAAACTTATCCCGGCCAAGTTACTATGGTGATTTATTCTCTGCAGTTAGCCTGCTCCAGACCAGACTAACAGCCAGGCTAAGATTAATCCTAGTGATTCACCTGTATTTCCACCGTCAGGCCTGTGAGGAATTAATGTGTTTTACAGCATGTCCAAGGTCTTTCTAAGTATGTTGCATCATTTTAATTATCCTGCATTAAAATATTACATATATATTGTAATTTCTTATTTCATTTAAATCTGTTGGCTGTTTGTAATTGCAACAGTCTTTTTATATTAATTCAAGTGGAAGTATTATTACTCAGGACAAGTGTTATATTGCTATGCTAATGAAGACTGCTCGTGAAACTGCATAAATATGTGTTTATTGCAGTAATTGAGATTACAAAACACAGCTGATGAAGTTGCAAAGGTGTTTTCAATGAAATCTGTGACAAGGGCAATATAGTATATATATTATGGCATACCGTTTAAGAGATTAATCTTTGAATATATAAAATTAATCTTTGAATATATGGAATGAAACTTTTAATATATTCAATGAAACTTGACTGGTCATCAAGGCACTGCTGCCATCTTGTAGAAGTGAGAATGAGTCAGTCAGGAACCTTGTGGCAGCAATACTGAGCAATGAGGACATTATTAACTCATTGGCAAGTGCTTGTACGGGCCACAATCCTTCCCACAGTACCCGTGCCCAATACCGTTCTCCTGACGAAGAAGTTCACTCCCTTTTTAATGGTGGCAGGCCGACTACAACAGGCCTCAGGCTAAATCCTGACAGAAAAAGCAAAAAAGTTTTCCAGTTTAAGAAAGTATTGTAATATTTCAACTGATGCCATTTTGTAAAACCAGCTAATTCAGAAGGCTATCACTTTGATGAAAAGGATACAACTAGGTTTTCAATTTCATTCAGTATTCTCACATTTTTATCAGTATATCCAAGATTCATTCCATATATTCAAAGCTTCATTTCCTAAACGGCATGCCATAATATATATATATTATTCACACCTGTTCCCTCTTCATAATGGCTTGCCCTTTCTTGGAGGATGTACTGGATGAGGAAGCCCTAATCCTCAGACGAGCATTTAGTCATGAAAGAGTCTTCTGGGACAGGTCAGACCCATTGGCTGTTGGAGATGACTATCTCATTGAGAGATACAGATTCTCAGGTGATGGACTAAGATATTTATGTAGGCTACTGGGTCCAAAAATACAGCACCAGACGGCAGGAAGCCATGCTCTCACTGTACCACAGATGGTCTGTGTTACATTGAGATGTTTTGCAAGTGGGAGCTTCCTTTATTCTGTTGGGGATGCAGAGAACCTCAATAAAGGGACCATTTTCCGTACATATCCTGGCTTGGTGGGCCCCCTGTGCCAGTTCTATGGGCTTTTTTTAACTGCTACAATCATACAGACATTCAACAAGTCAGCAGATACCTAATCTATTCACCTCATTTGTTCACTGTTATCTACTTTAAAGTCACTTTCCAGCCTGCAAAATGTTCTTGTATTTAACTTTAACTTGCTGCCAGGTCCTTTTATGGCCAGACAAGTTGGTTCTTTATGAAGGATAGAAAGATAAAATAGATAAAAATAGATTAAATGACACACATTGTGGATAATTGTTTGCACTTAATCATACTTTACATTTTCTGAGTAACATGAACCTCTACTTGCCACATTTAAAGCAAAGTGTACAACAGTTGATTAGTGGACTTAAAGTAACTCCTTTAGTCCTTTAATTGTAGCCTAATTATGACAGTTCCAGTGGAGCACTGTTTATTCATTGTACAGTTTTGGACTACTTAAGCATTAAGCCGGTCCGCTATTGTCTGCCAGGCTTTCTCTCTTTCTTTAATTATGGCATTGGTATTGCCTTTTTTTCTTCTATCTTCCACCTCTTCATAGAACTCCATCAGCAGCTGTTTTTCAGCGGCCGTGAAATATGAAGCGCGACTCTGATCCATGTTCCCATCAGTGATTCTGTGAGCGATCGCGAGGTCTATTTCAGTATGCCGTGAACACGCACTTATCCCGACTATCTACACCTGGCTTAACATAGCCGCACCTTTTAATCCTGGCTCGGCAAACGTGCAACCGATTAAGCCAGGATGCGCCGAGCAGGCTAAGTCAAGCCGCGCTTGCTCAATTATCCTGGATTTCTTTATCCTACTTTTGTGCAATACCCAACTGGGAGTTTGTTGTTGTCTCTATCTGGACACCTGGGAGTTTGTTATTGTCTCTATCTGGACACCTGGGAGTTTGTTATTGTCTCTATCTGGATAACTGGGAGTTTGTTATTGTCTCTATCTGGATACCTGGGAGTTTGTTATTGTCTCTATCTGGATACCTGGGAGTTTGTTATTGTCTTTATATTGTGGACACCTGGGAGTTTGTTGTTGTCTTTATATTGTGGACACCTGGGAGTTTGTTGTTGTCTCTATCTGGACACCTGGGAGTTTGTTATTGTCTCTATCTGGACACCTGGGAGTTTGTTACTGTCTCTTTGGACACCTGGGAGTTTGTTATTGTCTCTTTGGACACCTGGGAGTTTGTTATTGTCTCTTTGGACACCTGGGAGTTTGTACTGTCTCCTCTATCTACCGACAAGGTCGACTGTGTTTACATCGTGCTACAGTTTTAAAGTGTGTTTGAAGCCAGTTTAATCCAGTGTTCGATTAGTTCTTTTCACCATTACATTAACAGCCAACAGAGGCTGAAGCATCAGTGCTGTTGCCATGGTAACCTGCAGTTCCTCATTTAGAGTGGTGGTTAACCACGAAACACGTTACCGCAGTGTGTTTTTCCGGATATTCCTACATAGATAAAAACATTACTTTAGTAACTCAGACTGAGCTACATTTATGTCATCATTCATAGATGCCAAAGCATTTTTTAAAAGAGAAAATTATACGGTGCTCTAGGTATGTTACACTGTCATGACTTGACAGGAGGAGGATGCTCACCTTTCACCATTTAAGTTATGAAGGCTAACCGGTTTTGAAAGTTATGAAGCGGCAGTTAACATTTCAGACTGACTTCCTAGGTGACACCATGCTCCTGGAGCCTGCAGCAGCTGCAGATCAACGCGTTTGACCGTGAAACCACCGTCACTGTGGCCGCCATGGGAACGACGATGAGTGAGCCGTGTATCTACGACAAGCTGTCCGAGAGCATCGACATCCTCCGCCAGTCGGGCTACCGCTATGGCATGTCGGAGAGAGAGATAGAGAGGTTCATCAAGCAGGTCCTGGAGACCAACGAGCCCAGGAGAGAGCCTCCCCAGTTCCCCATCCTGAGGGCCACCATAAAGGTCAACACAAATATTATACTAGTTGACAGAAAGTATAATCAATGACTCACTAAAGGCCTCTTATATGTGAGGATTTGGTTGCTTTTCCCAGTTTGTTTTAGTACAAAGGTCTTCCTTGTGTTTACATTGTGGAAATTCTCTCTTTGTATTCCTATTTGTCCACTGCAGCTCAGCAAGAAAACTACACTAAAAAGACTTTAATCTGTAAAAGTTTCCACTTGATTTGTTAGAACTACTGAAGCCCAAAATCATGTTAGTGAGCATGTTAGGAAGCGATCACACACACACACACACACACACACACACACACACATTTTTGCTGTGTGTGAGGGGGGACACAGCTTTCAGTGTTGGTAATGTTTCTGTTATCTCTGCAGTTTGTGGTGGCAGTGGGCTTCCTGCTGGTGGCGGTGCTGGCCTTCACATACCCCCAGAGTGCCCCTCAGCTGGGTCTGGTCAACCTGGGCTGTTACAACTGGTCGTCGCCCCTCAGCCACGTCCGTCTGCTGTCCCTGCCCATCGCCAAGAAGTACAACCTACAAGGTCTGAAGCTTGATCACTCGGTCTCTCTTTCTGTTTTGAATTGAACAAATGCGCAGACAGTTTTTTACTAATGAGAACGTACCGGGTATCTACAGGGTGAAAATATTACTTTATTTCTAAAAGGTCCTAGTGTGTAGGATTTAGCAGCATCTGGTGGTGAAGTTGTAGCTGCAACCATTTGAATACAGCTCAGCTTTGAATACATTTCTACGTGTGTGCGTGCTGCAGGTTTCCATGAATGGTGGAGTGCTGGCTCTCTCCGACAGAATCTGGTCAACTGTTCGGGCTGTGCAGAGATCTCTTCAGTGCTTGAAGTCCCAGAGAGCCTCAGAGGGACCGTGACTCTGCGACGGGGGCCACAGCTCGTCCTGCTGAAGGTCAGAGGTCAACACAGACAGAGTTGGCCTCTTGATAGGCCTTCCCATGTGAGAACCATGGGTGCAAACTTTGTAAACGACGGCTTTAAAAAAGCTTTTCATAAACGCTACAATTAAAATAATATATATATATTTATAATGAAGCTGTGAAGTTTGATGAGTTGCTGGTTCCTTCTGGTCTCTGCAGGGTGGGGAGTCCCTCAGTATCCAGCGGCAGCAGCTTGAGGAGCTCTACTTGGCCCATTCAGGCTCTATGTCCATTCTGCTGGAGGAGGACGACGGTCAGCAGAACCACAACCTCGGCCTCCCGCAAGGACCCGCTAACTTCACTCTGCTCTGGTACACTTTTCTTGTTTCCCCCTTTTTTAAGATAATGTTTTGGGCTTTTTATGCCTTTATTATTATAGGACAGGTGAAGATAGACAGGAAAGGGGGTGGTGGGGCGGGGGGGGATATGCAGCAAAGGGCCACAAGTTGGAATCAAAACAGTAAGGAAAAGGTGGATCACTCACATCACACTGTGAGAGAAAATAGTTTAGGAATCAGTTGTTGAAGAAACTATATTATTGATAACTTTAGCTAACCAGTTCCGGATCTTCACATTATAATGCATTTATTGTGAAGGTCATGCAGGAAGTAGAGAAGTATCAGTGTTAGCTTTATGCGTAATTTGTTTACCATTGTAAAAGCAGAACAGAAAGCTGTAATGTGAATCGGTCACAGTCAATCCATAACATAACCAATCCACTTAACCAGGTCAGTATCTGATCAGATCAGCACCAAGAGGACACAGTGGTATTCAATGATTGTGATTGGTGCCACGTGTTGTAGGAGGTTCAGCTCGGGGACCAGGGAGAAGGTGTTGAGGTGGCTCTTCCCGAAGGCTGAGCTCTGCCCCCTGCTGGACAGTGCCGGGACCATCGTGCAGCGCTGCCTGGTCACCCACAGCACAAACTCCCAGAGCAAGGTCAGTTCACATGTCCAGATTCATGTCAAAATGTCTTTGACTGCAGTTAAAGACACAACTGTGACTATTTACTATATGCTGTGATGATGTTTTCACACTGAATTTGGATTGTTGTTGATATTGAAAGTGCAGTATTGGACTGTAAGTGTGGATACAGAAAATAAATAAACATATGTTTTAATTTCAGGAATGTTAGTTATTCTGTTTTGAAGCAGTTGTCCTCACTCTCAGTGTTGGTCTGTATTCCTCCATTGTTCACCACTAATGAACCCTCAGTCTTAACTTTGAGTTGTTGTCTGTGTTTTCAGGGTGTTGGGGTGTTTGGCTGGCTGGTGGTGGGCGAGGGGTTACCAACAGTTCGAGTTCTTCCTGTTCAACGCTGTCAGAAACACTGCAGCTCCTTCAACCTGTGGCTGACACCTGGAGACATGGGTAACACCTGCAGCAGCTGTTTTTATCCAGAAATACAATTATTTGAAAAAACTTCAGACAGCACAAATAGGCTTTGTTCCTGTGCCCACAAGATGAAATAGGATCTTCAGGGCTGCGTATAAAAGTTATAAATTACTTGCCACAGCAGACTGATAAACAAATCAACACGTTATGCCTTTCACCTAATAAATACATTAAACATTAATAAGTTGCACGAGTTGCGTCGGTGATCTTTGGTTGTCTCTTTAGTTGCTGATAGTCAATATGTTGTACACTGTACACACACACACACACACACACACACACACACACACAAACACACACAGGGACGGACGGTCTCTGTCCTCTCACTTTCCTTCCATCCTAATCCAGATGACAAAAGGTTCTCAGCTGATGAAAATCAAGATTAAATCTTCTGATTTTTACTGCCAGCTGAAACCACAAACTTTATTAACAGTTAACAGAATATTAGTGTAATATTGAAGAATGTGTGTAGTTTGATTAAAAGGAGACAGTTTGTTTGACTGACATGAATTTAGTGACTGTTTAAACTGTAGCTCACTGTCTTCGAGGTGTGTACATGTTCTATCTGTTCCCCTGATCTATAAAATCACACAGTTGAAGGTTACATGGCTGCAGAAACTGTCCAATCTGAACACTGTTAGGGTTAGGGTTAGGGTTCACACAGTTCATGGTTGTTCTCTCTGACCTTTGACCCTGTGCAGTGTACGCTGACCCTCGATACTGGCAGATGGAGCTGTTCCCCGGCCGAGGCCAGAACATCATCTGTGACGGATCGGCCTTTTAACCTTCAGGTGGAGCGAAGTGGAGGAGGACAGTTCAGGACTGTGGCGTGACAGATGGGCTGTGAATGTCTGACTTCCTGCTGAGGCGGCGCTCGTCTGCCTTCGCGTGGCCCCGCCCACTGATGCCTTATAACCCTACGGTCTTTTTTCCGACGCCCCACCCGTCTGATAATCCTCCCATTGTCCTCAGAGAACTGGAAACCATTGCACACATGACTTTAAGGGTCAAGGTTGGAGGATTTAAAAGTGGCTTTTTGACTTTGTCCTGGTGTATAACAGCGGAGCATCATCGGCCTTTAGACTCTCTGCAGCTCTCAGATGTTTTGGATGTGCTGTGCTCGTGCCATAGCTTCAAGCAGATGTCTAGCAATGAAATCACTGGGTGTGTTTCTCTTTCAGAAGGTAGTGAAACACTGTCGAGTACATTGCCGCTATCTGAATCGCGGCCCACATCTACGATTTGTTCAGGATTTTAAAAAGTAGGTGTTTTGATACCTTTTTCCTGGGTTACTAGTCAATCAGGGGTTTGTAGGCGGGATTAAGAATGTCTGCAGGTTGATGTAAGTCAAATTAGAAGAATAACAAGTCTAAAAATCACTACATTTATTCAGTCAACTTTTAAGTAAACTGCTCCTAGAAACCGCAGCTTCTGTGTTGACTGAAAATGATGTTGACTGGACGGATCAATCCCTGCTGATTGTTTAGAACAAAATAAAACCCCCCTGCTAAGAATGAAAAGAAACAAAGTGATTACATAATGCTTATTCTGCAGTGCACTAATGACTTCGGTGTCAGTAGTTGTTGGACATTCGCTACCTCCTGAAGTTGTGAGACACACCTGCAGCTTCACCTTCTGCTCCTCATCCGTTTTGTCTTAAAGGGCCTTTTCACCGAAAGTTACACAAACAGCTTTCTTAGTTATCTGTGATGTTATCTAGAACAAGCAGTTCTCCTTTGAACTGAACTGCAATATTCTGACATATATTGTGATTATTTTCTTTAAAAGAAGTTTTATTTATGTAGCCACAAATCACAATTTGCCTGAAGAGGCTTTACAATCTGTGCAGTGTACGACACTGTCGATTTGGATAAGAGAAAACACAATAAATGAACAGGTAAATAGGAAAAAAGCTGCATATATAATAAATTATATGCTGCTCGTTGATGTTTTCTACAGATAAATCACCAATTCATCTCACATTTGACACATTTAATGGCCACCTGATAATTTACAAAAATTATTGTGACATTCAAAAGAAAGTGGCAGAGAATGTGTTTTTTTTATTTTGGTGAACTGACCCTTTAACAACCACTAACATACAGCCTCATCATTCATCCTTCATGTCTTTTATCAGGATCAGCTTCAGATATATATTTTTAAATTGTGACTTTACTAATTCAACAGACAAAGTTGCTTCTTTAATTTCAGTGTCGTTATTTATTGTTATGATTGTATGTGTATATATATGTTCAAGCCATTCATTTTAATAATAACGTGTTGTAATATTATTATGCTGTGATCAGTTGTGGGTATTAGTGCAGAGAGCAGACAGCAACATCACAGTGACGTAGTAGAGCAAATATTTTGTGCATAATCAGCGTTTCAATGGGTCGTTCAAAAGTCTGAATAATATTAAATCAGTTTGCCAAAGTTAATGCCTGTCAAATCCGAGTTTCTGTGTTTAACAGATGCTCCGCCTCGTTTTGTTTTCTCATTAAAAAAAAAAACTTCTCATTTCTAAACATCACCCGATGCGAGTGCTTGAACAGAGTTAGGGAGTGAATCGTTTAAAATGTTCGCTTCGTATAGAAATGTCATAGTTTTTATGAGAAAATTAAAGCTTGTCATGTATTTGCTTCCACCTGTGTGGGATTTTTTTTTTTTTTAAAGTGCTATGAAGCAGAAAGGTTGGAAATCAGGCAAGTTTGTCTTGTTTTAATGAGGAAAGGTGTTAAACTGCTTATTTTTGCTGAGCAGACGGTTTTACAGATGATATTGTGAGTGTTCGGAGCACCGCAGGTAGGAAATAATGAATTGTACAAAATGTTAAACAAAATCTTGTGACATTTAACAGGAAAAATCTGAAATACTTCCATAGGACTGTTCATCCAACTTTTGGCACATTTTACTGTGTGTTCACATTTGTATTGTTATTGTTGACAAACCTTGAACACAGATGCCAGTTTATTAGATACACCAACCTACCCAGTTGTAAACAATCATTGTTCCAGTTGTAGAGATACTGGACTGACGGGCCGAATCTGTAATAACTCTTGAGGTCCCAGGATACTGAATCCCTGAAAGGTTTTATTTAATTAATCAGTAATGTAATTTGACCTCAGTTTTTCTTAAATCATGGCTACCGGCCTGAATGAAGGTAAATAAACAACAGGGGAGCTGAATGCTTTGGTAAGTACTCTAATTACTTTGCATTCATGTCACATACAGATCAGAGTGTGTTAAATGTTTTCAGGTCACAATCATCCACAGGGCGGACCTGTGACAAACCTGAAGAACCTCCACCTGCAAGAGCTGTGAGTAAATGTAAACCTCTGCAGGCTCAGATCAGACTTTTATTGAACCCTAAATGTGACATTATTATATTAATAGTATTTAATTAATATTTGATTGTCTCCAACTCCGGTTAAAATATTTCTATTTAGCTGCTAAATCTAATCTCTTGCCAAAACTACACTACGTAGAGGCTTCTCTGCGTTCACAACTTAACCATTACGGTGAGTTGACTCATTGTTAATATCAAAAATATTGATTGAAGCCTTAAATAAAAAAAAATTAGTATTATTATTGTATAACTTGTTAAATATGAGGTTTACATTTAATTTGTCTGCAGTCTGAAGTAGACAAAGTATCACCATGGTAATTACAAACAAGAAATAAATCTTTATTAGTCTGAACATAATGTAAACGGACAGCAGCAAACAGCACAATGCGCAGTAGCAACACAAGTTAGGTAGGTTTGTATCTGATTAAACATTAAAGGTGGACTAAGTGGTTCTGATCAGTCCCAATCGTTTTGAACACAGCCCTGCCTTTGTGAGTGGTAAACAAAGTGAATCAGACCGGGCCACACAACACAAACTTGTTATTCCAGCCAGGATTTTTGTGTGTCAGGTAATGTTAAATGACCTGCAGACATTCAGCTTACTTCCAAGTTTACCAAGATATGCTGCTGTTGTTGTTGTGACGTCAACTATAGCAGCAGGAGAGCTGTATCGCTGTCTGGAGCTGTGTGCTGCCTCTGGCACTATATTGACACTATTTCTCCAGAATCGCTTACCACACCTTTAATGTTTATTTGTGGATATGTTAATAAACCGCACGTACTGTGGAGTCTGGAGTCTGCCAGTTTAAAAACAGACTGGTTTAAAGGTAATACAAGCAATACAGCAACTGTTACTACAATCTAACTTTATCAGGGTGCTGATTCTCCAGCAGGGGGAGCTGTTCAGTTATTGTGACCAGCGCCACCTACAGGAGAGCAAAGTAGTGGTTCAGTTCATAGTAATCTGCCATGTTTTAGGGGAAGTAAAGCATTTGAAAGATGCACCCGGAAATGATACTGAAATATTCAGTAGTATTAACTGAATATTACAAATGTAATGCAGCTAAATGAAAGCAGACTGAATAACTAAAGACATTAAACAATCCTAAGTGCTAATATTCTTTCCCCTCACAGTTTAACTGCCTGCTGTACAATCAATAACTTTTAAATATCCTACCATCAGGAAGAGCGGCTGTAATTTATAACTGAAAGTAAAAGACAGTGCAGCGTTTTTAAAATTTGATATAGAGTATAAATGAGGAAGTCACTGAGAGGGACTGTTGCAGTTTGAGGTTAAAGTGCAAAGCATCATATTTGGGTTTTCATATTGGTCAGTTGCCCAAACAAAAAATCCTCTTCCCTCTCGTATTATCTCTCCGGTCGCATAGATTTTATTTTATTTGTACAGGTTTTGAGATTTCTGTCTTCCTCCTAGTACAATAGAGGGAAGAGAGTTTGTTCATACCTTATGTTTTATTATTTGTAATATATTAAATGAATACAAAACTATCTGACCGGAGAGACAACACGAGAACAAATTAATTCTCTATTCTCTCTATATTTAGTGTACTGCCCCTTTAAGAGCTGCCATGCCAGCTTTAAGAAAGTCCCTATAAAAACCCTTTAAACAAGATTAGAAAACATTTAAAAAATCTGTGTAAAATCAGTTGTTGTAGGATGTTCTGCTGCTGGTCACGTTCCTCCGGCCAGCAGTGGAGACGACTCGGAGACTCCGCGTTTGTGGTGATGTGCTGCTGCGACGCCATCGTGTGACCAGTCGTACAGGTGGCTGCTCTGCAAAACTGCTTCGGCTCGCAAGTTAATTTTCTTCATGAAAAAAGAAAGAAACAACAAAGTTACACACACACACATGAATTTAATCACACTGATCTGCTAGAATTTCCTAATTTTACTGAATCTAATGAACAAAAAAAATGCAAACAGCAGTTTCTATACATCATTTTATATCATGTTTGTTGTTTGCAACCCTCTCTCTTCTATCAACCCTTTGTGGGCACCTTTAACCTTTTTATTTTAATTGTATATGAAGTTGTAGTTTAAATTGATGTAAAACAACTACAATAATAATAATTTTAAAAACCACTGGGTCAAGTCAGTAACTAACCGTAGGTCCACAAGTATAAACTATGTATCTCTACACTGGACAAAGATACAACTTATTATCTGACTCACAGAACATGAGGATTTCCTTGTTTGTAGGAGTGTTTGTCTGGTCTTCACAGTAAATATAACAAACAAAACACAAGAGATTAGACTTCAACAGCAGCTGTGTGGGTGAAAAGATGAGAGAGAGAGTACCTGAAAATCTCTGATGTAGGTGAGGAAGAAGCTGATGAAGGAGAAGGCCAGAAACCATTCAGACACGGTGCTGATAATGTGAGCTGTGTAGCCCTGAAGAGGACAAGATACAAACATTAATGTTGACATGATGCTGCAAAGAGCTGCGTTACCAACATCAATACGTTTTATTACCAACTTAAAGGTGTTTCTTTTATTCTTGTATGGCTGATTGTGATCAGACAACTTATATTTCTCAAAGTAAGGTATCATTCTAGCATCAGTACTGAAACTTATGATATCTGCACTAGTAAATCCCACCAATGACTACTGACCGTCTCTCCAGGAGTCCAGTGCAGTTTGTGAGCTACGTCCACTCCCGGCAGGCTGCTGTACATGATGACTGATGATATGAACACTGACAGGACGCTGTTAAGGATCATAGCTAAACACTACAGAGGGTGTGTTTCCATACACAGCTGATATTCTGATTCGCTTCCTTAAACTTTTATCAACCGCTGTTGCTTTGGTGCTGGGTTCTTCTGTTTCCATCATGTTTTTACAAACCAGACTTCAAATATTTCATTATTAGTAAAACATGACCCCAGAACGTTATTAATTGTGTTTTTTTGCTGTGTCGCTAAAGCCGTTGTTGGTATCATCTCCTGAGCAAGTTTGGTTCCAGTAATTGTCCCCGAACGTGGTGGAGAACAGTGGAAACAAAAGTAGAACCTGTGAGAATGACTGCATGTTAAACTGGTTGTTACGTTCCTGTAGTGGTTAAAGGCCTTTCTATCAACCTGTCCACTGATCCAGTCTCTACACCAAGTGCAGTCCTTCCATTCATTTAACGATACTGACATTGGTGCCACTTCTATTATTGTACAATCAGTCAAAAATCCCTTTGTTTTCTCAACACATTCAAGACTGTTTTAATTTGGAACATAATAAAAACTTTCCCCATTAAGTAATTATTGTCTCACTACTCTGTCGCCATATTAAAGGATACTGCTGATGATGCTGCACAGGGTCCAGAATCCGATGCCGAGGCGGACCAGGTAGATGGTCTTGCTGTGGACGTGAGGCTGCATGTAGAGTGACAGCAGCGTCTGAACCAGGATGTAGAGCGCTCCGACCCCGAAGGTCAGCACGGCCCCCACCAGGTGCATGGAGAACAGCGTGGTCTTCTACTCACACACACACACACACACAGATTCACTGACATGTTCAACACTTCACACACTGTACAGGTGTGATCAGATCCAGGACCAGCAGCGCTCACCTGGAAGTTGGCGACCACGCACATCCCAAAGGAGCTGATAAAACCGAGCAGCAGCCCGAAGCGGTTCAGTCTGTTCAGTTTGAGCTCGTTTTCACCTGTCAGAGCCTCCACCTGTTTGTAACGCACGTATACTGTGGCCATACCTGCACACGCACACACACACACACACACACACACACACACACACACTCAATCAATGAGTGAAATAAGTCCTATAACATCAGCCGATATTCTTTTCTTCTTTCTACGTAGACAGAATATTTAACAGCTGTACAATAAATTAATCATGAAAGATTTCTATTAAACAATAACTAACAAATTTGTGTGTGTGTGTGTGTGTGTGTGTGTGTGTGTGTGTGTGTGTGTGTGTGTGTGTGTTGTGTGTGTGTGTGTGTGTGTGTGCACTTGTGTGTTACCTAAAAAGGCTGACACATCCAGCATGATGCCAAACACACACCTCTCTGGTGCCATCGTTCCTGTGTCGCTGCAACACACAACAAAGTTCATTAAGAGAGAAGTTTGTTTTATTTTGTTAAATATATAATAAAGCTGTTTAAAAAATATATATATGTTCATAATATGGAAAAATGTTAATTCTGGTGTCAGATCTAAAACTCATGCACCATGTATTAACGTCAGTATAAACTAAAAAGGTAAATCTGCCACTGTTATTGTATGTGGTTGAACAGTGGTTTCCAACCTGAGCGTCGGGACCCCCACTAGGGGTCACCAAAGCTTGAAGGAGGGTCACGAGGCCTTCTTGAATTTAAAGGGGTGTAAAAAATTTAAAAGAAAATATACACAGTAGGCTTGTATCTCAGCATTTTGTTCCTAAAGTTCAGATTTTTATTTAAGATCTAAACTTTGACGACTTGAACACAAGCTGTAATTAGAGCCTTCACTCTCTGCTAAAGAAGGAAAAGTACAAAGTTAAAACAAGTAAAGAGTCAATAGAACAATGGCGAAGCATCAGGGAGAAGAAAACACTGAATTTGTCACAAAAAAAAAGAAACCTATTTAGTCTGTATGCTTGTTAAAAATAAAATGTAAAAAATACATAATACAGACAGAGAAACTAATTCTGTCCAGAAAACTCTGATATTCATCCAAATTAATCGTTTTACACAAACTTCCTGCACTTATTGCGTTTAATATTTGGGATCATTATTCTGTTTATTATTTGTTCTGTTCTGTTACTGTTATACATTGAATAGTCAGTAAGACATCGTCAGATTACTCAATGATAGAAAATGAATCCCTTAAGAAAAAGGTTGAGAGCTGCTGCTCTAAGAAACTACAATGTGGATTTTCAACAGTTTTCTGGTCAATAAACAAATGAATGTTTAATGTATTAATGTAGGTAATGTATTTAATATGTATATAAAATCATATTTGTTGTAGCAATACTTTCAACTACATTTCAATTGAGACATCTGAAAAGAAAAATACAATACTGCAAATCAAACCAAATCAATATATATCGTATAGAAATAGAGAGAGAGAGAGAGTGTGTGTGTGTGTGTGTGTGTGTGTGTGTGTGTGTGTTCAGACCTGATGTAAGGCACCAGAGGATCCACATGTCTCAGCAACACCGCGGTGATGTAAGCAAAGATGAAGGACGCCGCCGTCCAGGTGACCAGCGCTGCGGGCAGGAAGCAAAGACCCTGCTGGAACCACCACATGGCCGCCTCACTGTGTGTGTGTGTGTGTGTGTGTGTGTGTGTGTGTGTGTGTGTGTGTGTGTGTGCGCTGCTGGTTCACTCTGTCCTGTATACAACACACAAACAGGGACACACACTGATATACAGTCGGGCCGTCATCAACTGTGCTGCTGACTCAAAAATAAATGTTTAATTTTAATTTTTAAAGTGAATATTAAAATTGTTTCACTTTTAAAGACCAGTATGAACACAATTTAAGATTTTATGTCCATACTGGCAGAATAAAGGACCATGGATGTGAAGGAAAACCGGTACTGGTCCAGTTTGCAACTTATACAAGTGTGATGCAGAAACTTGAGGCCACCAGTGCACACACACACTGAGAACGGACTTTACAGTGAAGTAGGAGACATCTTGTATCCTTCAGGAAAACATAAAAAATATGCATATTCATAGATTATGCAATTTTTAATGAGGTAGAAGGAGTAGACGCCTTTTAAAAAGGGAGTTTAATAATGAAATTATACTTTTATTGTGGAAAAAAAACATCTGAAATGTCTGAAGGGGATCTTTAAAGGATTATATTATCATGATTATCTCTATGGGGCATTTATATATCCTGATCTATCACACAACATCAGTTCAAACACCAGTTCTGAGAGGCGCGAGTCATCTGAAATGAGCCTAATAAGATCCACAGCTTCACCTGGCACTTAAAGCTGCAGCAGGTAACCTTTATATCTGCTGACATTTTCACTGTGTCCTGACATTAGTACATGAGACAGATAATCTGTGAATAAATCAGGTTCCTCTGGCTCTAGTGCTCCTAATGGCATTCACAAGAATCCATCATCCAGGACGAAAACAACCAATCAGAGCAGAGACAGAGGTTGTTTTCACACATTATCTGTCTCATATACTGCTGCCAGGATATAATGAACATCTCACCAAATATGACCAAAATAATACTGTTATAAAAATTACCTACTGCAGCTTTAAAGTGATAAAAAAAAACACACAGTGTTATAGTAACGTGTGCAGAGGCTTTAAGGAAATTCCCCATGTTCTCACTGAGGAAGTGAAACTGAGAAAGTCAGACTGAAGTGTGTAAAATTAACTGTTTCTGTTATTCTCGCCTTTAGGGAACCAGGGTCGCTCACACCAAACTCCATTCAAAAATCTGACACTTTAAGAAAAACCAAACTAAGCTCATACGAGTCCAAACGTTACATGTAACGTTAATGATCCAAATTAAAACCAGTAGGATTGTTGATAGCTAACGTTGGCTACGGCCGATAGCTTCCATCGATCATTATTAACGTTATATTTAAACGTTTTCAGTTTTACCGGTTGGACCACCCAGCCGATCGATAGAGGAAATATCGTCACGTGAGTCAGTCAGTCGGTTTGTAACTGATCATAATAACACTCACGTTATCACGAGTCCTCCAGTGACCATACTCTTCCTCAGGCAACTCCTTAAATCTCTTATTTCCTAACGGGACTCTGGTGTCCAGACGTCCGTGTTACTGTCACTAACCGTCGGTGTACTGCGGAGGTCGTGTGCGCCGCTTCCATTTAAAAATAAAGTTAAAAGTTACCACAGGGTCGTTGTAGTTCAGCGGAGGGTGAAGCACGCATGCGCAAGTCAACAACAAGACAAGACTTTAGGGCTCATTCTGTCCTGAATTCTGCCTCACAGGCTAACATAAAGGAGCAGTGTGTGCCCTCAGTTTAAACTACAGGGAAGAGGAAGCTGTGGAAGACCATTTTCACCAATGTGATGGGATAATGAGAAACTTTCTCAAAATAATAATGAATAATGAATTAAGATACTAATTCCAAATATTGAGAATAGGTTTGTCATTATTTTGCAATCCTAAGTTAAAATAATGAGAACGTTTCTTATTATTTTGAGATCCTATGTAAATATTTTAATAGATTACCATTATAATGACTTACACAATCTTTTTTTTCATAAATGGGCTCCATAAAAAAGCTTGTGTGAAGTGCTGATAAAAAAAAAAAAAAACTTACCATTTCAGGATACTCAGCAGAGCTAATACAGAATTTCTCACAACTCTTGGTTAAATAAAGAACCCAAATAGTATATATAGTAATTGTTTTGCAAGTGCATCATGAATAACACCTAATACAAACAGCAATTTAAGTATTCATTTTACACCAATGTGTGTTTTAGAAGCACTACTGTGTACAATTAGGGCTTCATAATTATTTGAAATACTTTTGAAATTAATATGGCCAAATGATAATTCTCACTCTAATAAATTGCAATATTAAGTTTTTATAGTATCGTGCAGCCCTACAATTTACATTTATTCACTCTCTCTCCCGCAGAGATAAAAAAAAAATATATAAAATAAAAAAAAAAACACAAAATTTTTTAAAAAAAAAAAAAAAAAAAAAAAACATCCCCCAAAACCTTACTTTTTTTTAAAAAGAAAAAAAAGTGAATTTAAATAAAAAAATAAAAAAAAAAAAAAAAAAAAAAAAAAAAAAAAAAAAAAAAAAAAAAAAAAAAAAAAAAAAAAAAAAAAAAAAAAAATAAAAAAAAAAAAAAAAAAAAAAAAAAAAAAATAAAAAAAAAAAAAAAAAAAAAAAAAATGAAAATGAATGATACAAGTTTCTATTATTATTGTTATTTTAATGCTGGCCTCCTCTCGTCCCATTGAAAAAAATAATAAGTTGGAAACACAACCGCCAGAATCAAACTTCCTTACATACCACCCTCTGGAGCGTTGCCTTCAGTGGCCCCATCAGTGGTTTCCAGTCAGACCAGGACAATGAATCCATCAGTTTGACCGTTTTCCAGTAAAACACAGAAGATGAAACCTGCTTCCAGGTAGGAAGTATGAAATTTATTTGCATTGGTAGGTGAACGGAGAGATTGTCAGGTGATGTGGTTTTTACTGTACTGTCGTCTATGAACACACACCGTTCTGCACACTGGTGATATACCTGAGCTCGGCAGTCTGGCCAACAGAAGACAAACTTTTACACAAGCTTTCCAGAGTACAGACACACGCAGTGACAACATGCTCATCGTGAAAAGGCTTCTTCTCTTCTACAAAACAATAAAAAAAATAAAAAAAACCTGACCTGACATCAGTAACTATATGCAGATGAGCTGTCGATGCTGTATCTCACAGTTATTATGAAAAGGTTGTTCAGTTGCAGGTTTCAGGTCGTGGGGTTATACAAAGACTCTCTACAGCTATAGTACACACTGTACAGCAGTATAGTACACATGCAGATTAGGGCATCGTTTCTTTTCCCATTTTGTCCTGAAACACCCAGAAACGACCGTACAGAGACGCCCACTGTGGAAAATAAAGGATAAAATAATCTGAATGTCAACATTGAACTGTTTTATTTAAAGGGTCAGTTCACACAAGTCACAAACACAGTTAGTATCCAGTCACACAGGTTTTGATTTTGTCTCGACATTAAAATCTCCATTAAGATTTTTGCCTTTCAGCCAAATAGTTTTTTTTCATATTTTCTATTATTTCTTTTACTTAATGACTATATTTTCTCAAAATTATAACTATAGTTTATTACTTTCTTACATTTGTATGACTTTATTCTTCAAATATTGCAACTTATTTGTATAATTACAACTGAAGTCTCATAATTTCACTCTCTCTCCTGTGGCTCTCCCCACTGGCAGAATGTCTTTACAGAAACTATCATGACTTCCTTCCCAATATAATCACATTATTTTCAAAACTTTTCTTTGTTAAATTATCCTTTTTCATAATATTTAGATGTTTTTTCTTTGTATTTATTCTTGATATTATTTTTTTAAATAGTTTTTATTAGCAAAATAACAAATTTCCCAATTTCCTTATTCAAAACTTTACTCTCAATATATTACATTCTCAAAATACTGAAACCATATTCTTGTAACCACTTTATTCTCATAAATTCCATCGTTATAAGCGTTGACTTTATTTAAAAGTATTTAATGATATACATCATAATATTTCATCTTAAAGGAGCAGTGTGCAGGATTTAGTGGCATCAAGAGGTGAAGTTGCAGATTGAAACTAACTTTTAACACTGCTGGCGTTTGTATTTGACGACCTGGGAACGAGAACAAGCTGTGAAATGTGATGGAGAAACTACGGTGGCCATGAAACCTGTGAAGCATCTAGAGCCACTGTTTGATTTGTCCATTCTGAGCTACTGTAGAAACAGGGCAGCCTCCATACAAGGCGACTTAGGCGTCTGTAGACAAAAACGTTTCATTCTAAGGTAACAAAAACACAAATCTTATATTCAGGTGATTATACACTAATGAAAACAAACTTGGGTTATTATATTTTATTTACGCCAGTAGATCCTCCTAAAAGTTACACACTGGACCTTTAAGATACCACAAGGCATTCAATGTATGTTTGTTATTTGTGTGAAGTGGCCCTTTAACACTTTCTATGAATCAGACCAACAGTCTTTTTTTTTTTCTTTTAATCATTAACATTCAGATGACCTGAACCTGAACTCGTCCAGTTAAGACAATTGCGCTGTTGTAACTGCTGTAACTTGACTACAGTCAACACTTTGCATTGTAAATCTTTTTATAACATTATAAAAAAAAACTATAGCGGCTTAGTTCAGCATCTGCAGATGTAACCCTTTAGACGAAATACAAATAAAAAACAGGCACAATATGCAAAAGCAAGAAACTAAACTCCGCCGTTAAAACTTGTTCTCCACATTAAATCACTACAGGTTCTCTTCAGAAGCAGCAACACTGAACACCCACTCGGCACGAGGCACCGTAACAGTAGAAGATGATGTCGGAGCAGCAGCCACTTCAAATAAACAGGTTTTTATTATTAACTGTCAGGAACAAAAGTTTGATCTGATTCTCGTCAGTCACCACCTTAAAAGCTGTGATGTCATCGTGTGACCTCACCTCCTACACATTCAGTCGAGGTGCACCTGTTCAGCTTCAGCAGGTACGTTTTGGAGGAAACGCAACGTCACCCAATGTTCTGTTATATTAACGGTGATTCGGGTTGAGTAACGGCGTCCATCGGCCACACAGGAAGGAGTGTAAATAACCGTAATGGTGGCAGGTAGTTTGTTTTAAAAGGAGAAGTCTGGTTATTGTCAACAAATCCAATAAAAAGACCAAAACCAACAACTTTTGAAGACTTGTCGTCTATAAAAAGGCTTAAATTCTACAAGATTATAATGGAGTGAAAGGACCACTGACCTTAAAAAGGTACAAGTCTGGGGATATTCTGCATTATTTTCAACAAATCCCACAAAAAAAGACCAAAACAAACAATGAACTGATCCACTAACAAGTGTTGTCTGTGTATTTAAAGCCTGATAATCTTATTCCTCGGTACCAGAGCTCCATTGTTGTCAAAAAACTATTAAAAACACATAAATGAGGCACATTGTTGCACTGAGTGACATGTTCCTTCATTACCAAAAACACACACACACACAGTATTTGGACTCACATACACATTCCTGCTGCCAGTAGAACAAAAAAAAAAAAGTGGATTAATCCACTGCTGAAAATAGTCCCCAACAATTGCATTATTTCTTCCTGATTGAATAATGTTTGCTAAAACCTACAGTAACCCGATGTCTTAGGAAATTACTGAGAGTCGGAACCAATGAGTCGGGAAGTCAGAAACCATTAAGAGACAAACTAAAACATTGTTGGTTTTGGTCCTTTCACTGGATTTGTTGGTGGTAGAAGAGGAACGAGAAGTAACAGAAAGCAGACAGACAGCTGGCGGAGTGATCTGTCGCTCTGATCTGATCGGAGTATTGATTCATTTAAAACGTGAGCTTTGTTCTCGAACTCAAAAGGCCTACTTGCTAGCTTCTGTACTTTTCATCTGCATAGCTCTTAACGCTAGTAAGTGGACCTTTGAGTTTAGACATTTAATACGTGAATAGTTCAGATTTTGGCTATCGTGTCTCTCCCTCTTGTGCATGACGTGTCCTAATCTATTTACAATGAAAAGAATAAAAAGTGTAGAGGAAGCCAAACTCCAAGAAGCATTAGCCAAACTATAAACTTCATAATGAATAGCAAATAACATTACATGTGACAATAAGCACGCACACACACACACACACACACACACACGCACACACAACCCAGACTTGAATAACACCCAAAAACATCCCATGTGCAGAAACGAGTGATTTCAGTTAACATTGGCAGTGAATATTCTGATATGTAACAGAAAAGTGGAACAAAGTCGACATTAAGTTTCCTCCAAAACCGCATTTTGCTGATGTGAAACAGCTGCACAGTTCTCAGTAATGTGCAGAAGATAAAGTTGTTTTAAAATCATATACATGAAGAAAAAAAAAAAGGTTTATAAATGTGTCAAAGCAGGATTTTTAACTTAAAAGAGAAGCACAGACACCGTAACAGTTTGGTATTTACAATAGCAAAAAGGTGAAAGTTATGCAAATATTACAAAAATTATAACCATGAAAAGCAAAGAGTTTGATTCATTTCCAATACATTTTCTTTGCACAAGAACAGTTAAAACACACTTAAGTTTCTCTCCTTGAACATACTGAGTAGCACCTGTACTCTCCTGAAATATTTGCTGTGTAACCATGAGTTTGTCAGAAGATATTATTATTATTATTATTATTATTATTATTATTATTATTATTACTGGGGCAGAAGATTAAACTGGTACAAATTCAATTCTGCACTGGTGAGAAAAAAAAAAAGAGAAAACAATGACAGTAATACTCCAGTATCTTAATATATATTATTTGTCCTCACATTCAGTTGGCAGAAGCACGTACGTTACACCACGTCATCCCCTGCATCTCTACGTGGAAAACAGAGGGAAGAAAAGATGAGTGCGACTAACAGGAAGGGACAGAGTCAGTAATGGCCGGCGTGTCCTCAGTGAGGAGCTGAACTGAGCACTGAACAAGGCTTGATTTTGAAAACGAAAATGTGAAGATGGCAGGCAATCTGGTTGCAAACACTGACACAGTAACGCACCAAGTCAAAAAAGGAAATGATCTGCAGGAGAGAAAAGAGACAGTCCGTCACTCTTTGCAAGCAGGAATAACAGGAGCTCTACACACAGTGGAAACACATTAGTGACAGGAAGATTAAAAAAAATGATGAAAAGTTCAGTAAAATTATAAAAGAGTCAAAGGTTTTACTTAATATCTCAGAATTCGGACTTAATATTTCATCATTTCAATGTGTAAAAATCATAGTTTGTATCTAATTTTTACACAGCATCTCTTTTTCATCCCAATATTTCAGTGTCATAATTTTGAGTTAGTATGTTATAATTGTTACTCAGTATATCTCATACTTTTGATACATTACAGTTTTTCATCCCCAAACTTGTGACATACTCAGATTTATGATATCAAGTAAAAATGTTTGATGATAAAATCTCAAAATAATTAGTTTGACTGTCCTACTTTTCACTCGTTATCTCAGTTTCATACTTATGACAATATTTCAGTCTTTCAGTATACATTTGACTTACTCGCTCGTTTTCACTTGGTAAGTCATAATAAAGACTTGTATCTTATTATTTATTATTTTTACCTAGTATCTCCGAATTTCAACGCATCATTTCAAACCAGTTACTTCGTATCTAATAACTGTGACTTAGAAAACATTCAATCAAAGCTAGAATCGTGTGTGTACTTACCAATGCAATCCACAGCACCAGGTACTCGTCGATAAAACTATTGAAATACTGATCCAGGAACAGTAGTCCTGGTCCCAGGAAGGCTAAATCATGGAGATGCATCTCACTTTTTGTCATATGTGCTACCTGTGGACAGACAGAAAGCACAGTCAGCATCAAACAACACAACTGTTTAACTATACTAAAAATAAAAATAAATTCCTTCAGCAATTCTCTGTTTTAACTTATACTTTATATATATTAATGGTATTTTGTGAATTTTAATGTATTTTTTTATGGTTCTATCAGTATGTTGAATGTTGAGCTACTTCCTACAACTTTTGTTGTGATGACAATAAAGTTAACTCAAACTCAGGATAACTAATGTGGTAAAAAGAAGTTACTGCAAACTGAAAATAAAAATGCAGTTTCAAGTTCAAAAGTCAACAGGTGAGATCAGAGAAAACAGATGTTCCACCGTCTCGTCACTAACTTTGTCTTATTTTCTATGATTTCTAACATCAAGTTCTCTACCAGACTCTTGTTTCACAACAAAGTTTATTTAGTTAAATGTTAAAACTGTTCAGTATTTAGTTATATGTTGCTCAATCACAGCTTACACTCTGTTGGTATGAGCTTTACAAGGTTTTTTTTGCCAGATTTGAGGAATTTAAACCGGGTGAAGCTGAACAAAGTATTCAGCTTTGGATTTGTTTGAAGGTGATTTGTTTGATGAAGCTCGGCTAATAGTTTCCTTCTGCTTCCAGTATTTGTACTAAGCTACATTAAACACATCCTGGATCTCAACAGTGGAGAGACACAGCAATGAGTCTGAATCTGTGTGTACAAACTGAATACTGAAGTTTCTACATTGTCAGGTTTTTCCTTTCTGTTTCTTATAAAAAAAAAAGCAGGTTTGACTTACAACTAATTTATTGGTGATTTTCGCCGAGACGAAGCCAAACGCCAGGATATAAAGACACGGATGTTTCTCAAAGAGCTGAACAGCAGACTTCTTGTATATCATCATCGCCAAAATTATAACGGAACCAATATGTAAGACTGGAGAGAGGACGCTGGTTCCCTGAAGACACAGACACACAATAAACACACAGATGGTTAATGTCAGTAGAAAGATTCACTAGAGCTGCTTAAAGTCCCATAATAATTAGCAATGAGTTCTACATAGCATATGATACAGAGCGGTGGTGCATTCAGACACCAGCTTGCGATAAATTATTCAACAGATAGCAGCTGACAATTTGAATTTTGTTGTTTGGCTAACTAACAGAATTAATGTTAATTAACTACAGATAATAAAATCTGAAAATTGAGAAGCCTTCTTACAGCTCTGGTAACTGTTGGTGCCTCTGGATCAAACCATATACAGTATTCATAATGGTCAATCAGGTTTCTTATTTACAAATATAAAAAGATGTGCCACAAGCCCTTTGAGGCAAATTCATTGTTTGTAATTTTTGGCTTAATAAATAAAACTGATCAGTCAAAGTCAGTAAAAACTGAAGAAATACCAGTAAAATTACACATAAATTACAAAATATCTGTGAACTCTGGTTTGCAGTGACAAATGTCAGCTGGTAGCACTGTTAGCGTAACCGAGAATACACACAGCTCTACAGGTAGTAAGAAATTAACTGAGTGAAGATATGTTATGTTTTATAGCCGTCATGTGACCAATGTTACACAAACCATCAACAGGTCACACTGACATTGCTCGGAAACATTTCCATGTGGATTTATCTGTGATAAAACAATATCCTCCCTCTTTAAACACCAACTTATCAGGACTTACTGCTATTGTGGATCCGTTTTTGCCCACACCTCCCGTAAAAATAACTCTGAAGTAATTGGTGCAGGAGAAGATGGCTCCTAAAAAAGTGCAGATGGCAGGAACCATTTTCATCTGGATATTTAGGATCGGAATCTGGGAATCAAGACAGTAAAAACACTCAAATTAAAAGGACAGATAATGAAACACTTTTACATGGATAGATTTTGCTGATCATACTAATAATCCAGCTATTTTTGTAATTTGTGAGTTCATTCACCTTTACATCCACAATGAAAGCATCATGAGTAATGTTAGAGGATTGTAAACACGTTCAGAGTGACACTCTTTCTGATAACAGTTATAGTAAAACAGTCAAAACAAGAATGTTAGAGCAGCATTTTAAAAAAAAACAGCATAAACATCAATACACAATTACATTATCACCAGTCTCATTAATCTCAATCATTAAGAATTAGAACCGATCACAATTACCAGTGACTGCCAAAAAGCAGATCCTCCCACGGCGGCCAGCAAATACATGATTATAATGAAGATTTGCACCTCAGTCACATCAATGCTGAGTGGGAGGAGAAAGCAGAGAGTTCACAGTGAGGATTAGTGACCAGCACACAGTAATCCTACAGCCTTCTTCCACAACACACTGCTGGACACGGAGCTGATGGGACGCTGTTGTGTTCTTCGCCACCACGCAGTTATTTATTATTTATAATGGAGGTTAAAGATTAAAACAGGAAAGTCGCTGCATTAAAGATGCAATCAGTTATATTTAACTGGCTCTTTGAACAAGAGGTCGTCCTCCTCAGTGACTTCTGACATATTTTTAGTGGGAGACACTAAAATACGTGAAGTCACTGCGCCCGCTTGTTAAGAAATCATTCCAGCACGTAAATCCCCGTAAAACCACCAACTGTTGTTAATTTCTGTTTGTGTACAGATTTAACATCTGACATACGTTTTGATTAGAGAGCTTTAGAGGTGTTGAAGGAAGGTGTAGTTTTGAACCAGGCTAGCCGTTTCCCCCTGCTTCCTGTGTTTATGCTAAGCTAGGCTAACCACATCCTGAACACCTCACTGTAAGAAAGAAAAATGTTTAATGTTTCCTTACAGCTTTCTGAACACATATAACCTGTCTGGATATCTACAGCTACAATTAAATATTTTCATTATCAATTAATCTTGTGGTTATTCTTTTTAATTAACGATTAAAACATCAGAAATAAAATGAAAATGTCTTAAATATTTCCCAGAGCAAGTAGGAAACGGTTTGCCAACAGTCCAAAGCCCGAATATATTCAGTTTACAGAGATAAAAAGAAAGATAAACGCAGAAAATCCTCTTGTTTTGTTTCCTCCACAACATTTTCCAAACAATCAGAAGGTGTCACATTGTTCCTCGTCCCCGGTGGCGTTTGGATTTAGAGTTTCGGGTGGAGATCATGCAGTTAGTTTGATACTGAAAGAGTTGTATTTTTACTGACTGCACCTTTAAGCAGAACAGACTGTGAATTTAATTCTCCATGGAGGTCAGCAGTCACTGTGGAAGGAGACAGCAGTGAGCCATGCAGCAGCAGCCAGGAGGTTTACCATCATGTTCCACAGGCAGGGACCGACAGTGGCTGTGAGCATCTGTAATCCTGCTAGACAGATCTGCACTTCTGTTATGTCAAATCTACACACAGAATACATCCACATTTACTGCAGCACCACTGCACACCTCACTGCTATTATCTCGTCAAATTACTGACAATAAAAGTATAACTAGATGCTGTTTTTAATAAGTAACAAAATGTGTTTTAGATTTGATACATTCACTTTTTTTGTTATTCAACCTAAAATTTATGCAAATCAATCTTCTGTTTTTCCAAACTTACAGGTGTCACTCAATTTGGCAATATACTTAAGTAGAGCTGTACAATTTATCGAAATATATCAAAACAATAAAAAATATATTTATAATAATAATAAGTTTTATTTTATGTGATTTTAATTGTTTTTTCAGTGAAGAGGACAATTGCTCTATGTTTTATGTTTAAGATAGACGGACTAAATTCTTAGTTTACAGAATTCAAAGTTTTTATCTTAACACAGAACCACAGCAACAAAAAACAAAGAAAGAAAGAAGAAAAAACAAGAAAACACCACAAACACTGAGAAGCACAGAGCTGTGAGCTGTTGAACCGCGCTCGGTGGACATAGAGAACAATCACACATCAGTCCCGGCTGTAGATGAAAGGTCTTAATCTTGTTTTTCTGAGCAGATATTTCCTGATTTAAATCGTCACTTTGTAAATTCTATGGGTTTCTGTGTTCAGATAACATTAAATACAGATGCATTTGAGCAGCTTTTATAGGAATCAGTACTGAAACTCAGGTCTTGTATTGAAGGACTGAACTTTAACTCCTGAGACGAGCGAACTTAATATACAAATAGAAATTATCTTCTTGCTTTTAAAAAGAAAAACAAACAGCTTTTGTCGACTCACATGCCGAAGCGCAGTGTTCCTGACACGTATGTTTGCCAGTGGGCACAGTAGAACATAAACATCCCGGCGAAGCAGCAGAAGAACATCCAGTCCGGGTTCGTACCCATCTGCACGGCTATACTGGTTCCCAACACTACGAACACTGTAGAGACAAAAGGCATGAACACAGGTCGTGTTAAAAAGGAGCTTCAGATTCACGGGGACGCAGCGGAACGACGTTGAACGGGTACAAGCTGACCAGTGGAGAGGGAGTCACAGCCGTGGTCAAACAGCTCGCCCAGCGGAGAGCTGCTATTGGTGCGTCTGGCTTGCTTCCCGTCGATGGCGTCCAATGACTGGTAGACAAACAGACCCACAGCACATAGCAGGTACGCCCAGAGAGGAGCCTGAAACAACACACACACAAACATTCATGCAGGGGTCACTCACTCACCTTGAAACCCAGAATCAAATACGCTTCAGGTTCATAACTCAGAACAGATGCTGTACACTTCAATACATATAATCACAGACCATAAACAGAGTCTGTGATACTGAGGCTAACTCTGCTCAGTCTCTGGTGGACTTCAATTCATTTTTTATTACAGTACTGTCACCAGGAAACAGACTCCATAGCTGCAAGGTCATAAAGAGAGGTGTGTATGGCTCGCGTGTCGTCGTCTTTAAACACCAAAATCGAGTCGGAGCCAGTTTTCCATCGAGGCATATTTCAAAAGTCTGAGACACCCCAAGGTCGAGGACCTCAAAAAGGTTTCCATGCCCTATTTGAGTTATTGAACAGATTATTTAACAGTGATTCAGCAATTTTACATGTATATATATTTCAGTATTTCTCTACCACAGACACCCAATGACAAATAACAGGTCCGTTGTCATTGTTGTGTTGGAGGTCAGTTTCCAGAAACAGCCCCAGTAACAGACCTATGACAGTCCCTGTAATAAAATGGCTGCTGGGGTAACTCAGCGAAGTAAAACAGTATTTGTGTTAACAGAAATCCTAGTTGTGTTTAATAAGTTTTAACATGAAGACATTCCGGTATAACGATGCTTCAGAATGATGACGAACCTGTTCAGTGGCAGTTGGGCAGTAGTAGATGAGCACGAGGGTGGTGAAGACGTTGGTTGCCAGGCCGATGATGGTGATGAGGTTGGGGGCGATCCAGGAGGGGACTCTTCCCACCAACCATTCCCAGTAACGCTGCATCAGAGGCTCCAGTAGGGAGCGTCCAGCACTGCTGTACCTGTAGGGGACGGACAACAGCCAGGTGAGGACATGATGACTTTACCCTGGTGATTTACTGCCCCCCCCCGCTTTTCAGTGTTCAGAAACTATAAACAGAGTGGCAGATCTTTTTATTCATAAATAATTTAGGTGATCTCCTCTCCTGTCAAGTTCAGACAGCCTGCAGGTAGTTCTGCAGTTTGAGAGTGTAAATGACAAACAGCTAGCAGGACGGGAATGAGTCATCAACCGTTTACGTGTCGTCAGTCCAGAAATACCAGCAACTAGACAATCAATTTATATTGTGACATTTCTGATTGTCATATTGGAAAACCACTGACTAACACTATGTACACCACTAATGTAATACCTTAATGATATTACATATGACACTGACACATGAGCTGAAGTGGTCAATCTCTTACAATTAACTGCATTATTTTACTTGTTTGTGTTCAAGTTGAAACAAGTTTGAAAATAGTTGTTAGAAGACTTTCTTGTTTCAAACTGTGTTGACCACATAAACAGTCCTGGAGTTTAATGTTGTAGAAAATAAACTCTATTTAAACCACAGTCACTCAAACAGCAACTAAGTTTGAAATGTAAACTCTTATAAAACACTGAACACGTCCATATGAGACTGCTGAGGACATTTCTGCACGGTTCCATAAATCACTGCCAACTTACTGTACATAGTATTAAATATCCATATAAGGTAAAGTTTTACTGCCGTTCGTCTCAGTCTGTAGAGCTGAAATCTCTGTTACCTGTGCTCCTCCAGTCTCTTGAGCTGGTGTCGGGACAGGGGGGGCGAGGGCAGCTCGATCAGCCTGCGCAGCACTCCGGGGGCCAGCCAGCAGGCCGCCTCCATGCCCATGCCCTGCCCAGGGTCCTTGTCCCGGGCAAGGCTTCGGCGAGAACGCAAGCCCCCCCCTTGCTGCTGCCCCGTCGTACTCATGGAGCCCTGCTGCCTGCTGATCTGGTCCCCGATGGCTCTGGCTCTGCCTCTGCCACTGTCCTGCCGGAGGGGCTAAAGATCCACAGTGGGGCCGGGTGAGGCTGGACAATACCTGGGAAACAGGAACCAAAGATATAATAACATAATACAGAAATACAGCAGCACAAAACACAGTGAAGCATCTTTACCAAGGCTGCAGCCAATGCTTATACTGATAGTAATGTAAAGATAAATCACAAGGCAGTTTAACTGTGGTACAAATGTGTGAAAAACAAACTGTGGTTTTAAGGCGCGGTGACTTTAGTTTCACTTTTACAAAGAAAAGGAAATATGCATTGTTTTTGAACAGTTTATACTATATAACATATATACGTATATAAACAGGTGAGTGGAGTAAATCGTATTATTTTACAATAACATAAAAACAGACACACAGAGCTTCTTGCTTAAATAATAACTGACTTAATCAGATTAATCGTTACAGATGAAAGATCAGACCTCTCCGGGGGGGGGTTATCGATAATAGGATTAATTACAGGTTTGTAACGTTACCAATAATAAATAAACGACCTGATATCTCTGACCTGTTCAACCAGCACAGACATAAACAAGAGTCAAACCGGCTGTAAACAAACACTACAGACAACAAACATTACTGACAACAAACACTACAGACAACAAACACTACAGACCACAAACACTACAGACCACAAACATTACTGACCACAAACACTACAGACCACAAACACTACAGACCACAAACATTACTGACCACAAACACTACAGACAACAAACACTACAGACAACAAACACTACAGACAACAAACATCACAGACAACAAACATCACAGACAACAAACATCACAGACAACAAACACTACAGACAACAGACACTACAGACAACAGACACTACAGACAACAGACACTACAGACAACAAACACTACAGACAACAAACATCACAGACAACAAACACTACAGACAACAAACATCACAGACAACAAACACTACTGACAACAAACACTACAGACAACAAACACTACTGACAACAAACACTACAGACAACAAACACTACAGACACTACAGACAACAAACACTACAGACACTACAGACAACAAACACTACAGACAACAAACACTACAGACAACAAACACTACAGACAACAAACATCACAGACAACAAACATCACAGACAACAAACACTACAGACAACAAACACTACAGACACTACAGACAACAAACACTACAGACACTACAGACAACAAACACTACAGACAACAAACACTACAGACAACAAACACTACAGACAACAAACACTACTGACAACAGACACTACAGACAACAGACACTACAGACAACAAACACTACAGACAACAAACACTACAGACAACAAACATCACAGACAACAAACACTACAGACAACAAACACTACTGACAACAAACATCACAGACAACAAACACTACTGACAACAAACACTACAGACAACAACACTACTGACAACAAACACTACAGACAACAAACACTACAGACAACAAACATCACAGACAACAAACACTACTGACAACAAACACTACAGACAACAAACACTACAGACAACAAACACTACAGACAACAAACACTACTGACAACAAACACTACTGACAACAAACACTACTGACAACAGACACTACAGACAACAGACACTACAGACAACAAACACTACAGACAACAAACACTACTGACAACAGACACTACAGACAACAAACACTACAGACAACAAACATCACAGACAACAAACACCACAGACAACAAACACTACAGACAACAAACACTACTGACAACAGACATCACAGACAACAAACACTACAGACAACAAACACTACAGACAACAAACACTACAGACAACAAACACTACTGACAACAAACACTACAGACAACAAACATCACAGACAACAAACACTACTGACAACAGACACTACAGACAACAAACACTACAGACAACAAACACTACAGACAACAAACATCACAGACAACAAACACTACTGACAACAGACACTACAGACAACAAACACTACAGACAACAAACACTACTGACAACAGACACTACAGACAACAAACATCACAGACAACAAACACTACTGACAACAGACACTACAGACAACAAACACTACAGACAACAAACACTACAGACAACAAACACTACAGACAACAAACATCACTGACAACAGACACTACAGACAACAAACACTACAGACAACAAACACTACAGACAACAGACACTACAGACAACAAACATCTGCCTCAGCGGCTCGCTAACGCTGCTAGCTGTTAGCTGCTAGCTGCTGATGGTGGAGATTAGCATTAGCTGGCTGCTCCGGAAGACGAGTGTCCGGTTGAAGTGATTCGCTGGCTGTCGGTTTTGTTTTCACCCCCCCTCTCCACTCTTGCATGGCTGACAGACCAGTGCTGGTTGTAACGATGCTGATTAAAATGAGACTCTACTGACACTTCCCCCAGAGATGACTGCGTCTCGCTGGAGCTAACCAGCTAACCCCAGAGACAGCTAGCGACTGGCGGATGAACGCAGACTGACCTGGCCGATTAAAGGACGACAGCCGCGGGTAGTCCGAGGGGGCGGTGAGGGCTGTTCAAGCCGACAGACAGGACCCCTCTGTGGGTGGCTGGGGTCGGACTTTTCTCTTTATGTGCCGGATTACCGGAGGATCGGTTGCAGCTGTCGGTGGATCACCCCGACCGGTGTCACTGTAGTTGTCACAGCGAGCTAGTTCACGTTAGCCATCACCGAAGTCTCGCGTGACTTGCTCTTCTTTAACACAGCTTTGTGCCCTGAGTAAAGTCTCGCAGGTAGGGAGGGAGGGAGGGAGGCAGGTAGGGAGGGAGGGAGGGAGGCAGGTAGGTAGGGAGGGAGGTAGGGAGGGAGGTAGGCAGGTAGGGAGGGAGGGAGGGAGGTAGGCAGGTAGGGAGGGAGGGAGGTAGGCAGGTAGGGAGGGAGGTAGATAGCGAGGCAGGGAGGGAGGTAGGCAGGGAGGGAGGTAGGCAGGGAGGGAGAGAGGGAGGGAGGTAGGCAGGGAGGGAGGGAGGCAGGTAGGGAGGGTGGTAGGCAGGGAGGGAGGTAGGCAGGTAGGGAGGGAGGTAGATAGCGAGGCAGGGAGGGAGGTAGGCAGGTGGGGAGGTAGGGAGGAAGGTAGGGAGGGAGGCAGGGAGGTAGGAAGGGAGGGAGGGAGGGAGGTAGGTAGGGGGAGGAGGCAGGTAGGGAGGCAGGTAGGGAGGGAGGGAGGTAGGCAGGGAGATAGATAGCGAGGCAGGTAGGGAGGGAGGTAGGCAGGGAGGGAGGTAGACAGGTAGGGAGGGAGGTAGGGAGGGAGGCAGGTAGGGAGGGAGGGAGGGAGGGAGGTAGGCAGGTAGGGAGGGAGGTAGGGAGGGAGGTAGGCAGGTAGGGAGGGAGGCAGGTAGGGAGGGAGGGAGGTAGGCAGGTAGGGAGGGAGGTAGGGAGGGAGGCAGGTAGGGAGGGAGGTAGGGAGGGAGGTAGGCAGGTAGGGAGGGAGGTAGGGAGGCAGGTAGGGAGGGAGGGAGGGAGGGAGACAGGGAGGGAGGCAGGAAGGGAGGGAGGTAGATAGCGAGGCAGGGAGGGGGGTAGGGAGGGAGGGTGGTAGATAGCGAGGCAGGGAGGGAGGGAGGGAGGTAGATAGCGAGGCAGGTAGGCAGGTAGGGAGGGAGGTAGGGAGGGAGGCAGGTAGGGAGGGAGGTAGGCAGGTAGGGAGGGAGGCAGGCAGGGAGGGAGGGAGGCAGGGAGGTAGGGAGGTAGATAGCGAGGCAGGGAGGGTGGTAGGCAGGTAGGGAGGGAGGGAGGCAGGGAGGTAGGGAGGTAGATAGCGAGGCAGGGAGGGAGGTAGGGAGGGAGGTAGGGAGGGAGGTAGGCAGGGAGGGGGGTAGGGAGGGAGGCAGGCAGGGAGGGAGGTAGGCAGGTAGGGAGGGAGGTAGGCAGGGAGGTAGATAGTGAGGCAGGTAGGGAGGGAGGGAGGGAGGGAGGCAGGGAGGGAGGCAGGGAGGTAGATAGCGAGGCAGGGAGGGAGGTAGGCAGGTAGGGAGGGAGGGAGGGAGGTAGATAGCGAGGCAGGGAGGGAGGTAGGCAGGTAGGCAGGTAAGGAGGGAGGAAGGGAGGGAGGGAGGTAGGCAGGTAGGGAGGGAGGGAGGCAGGGAGGTAGGGAGGGAGGTAGGGAGGTAGATAGCGAGGCAGGGAGGGAGGCAGGCAGGGAGGGAGGGAGGTAGGCAGGTAAGGAGGGAGGAAGGGAGGGAGGTAGGCAGGTAGGGAGAGAGGGAGGGAGGCAGGGAGGTAGATAGCGAGGCAGGGAGGGAGGGAGGCAGGCAGGGAGCGAGGCAGGCAGGGAGGGAGGTAGGGAGGGAGGGAGGGAGTTAGGCAGGTAGGGAGGGAGGGAGGTAGGGAGAGAGGGAGGCAGGGAGGTAGGGAGGGAGGCAGGGAGGTAGATAGCGAGGCAGGGAGGGAGGGAGGCAGATGTCCTCCTCCTCCTCCTCCTCCTTCCTCACAGATTATTTGACATATTTCTGCTCTCCAATTGACAGAAACTGTATTACTTGTGCTCATTGTAGGAACATTTTGATTTAATAATAATCAGGGTCAAAGTGATGAATGAAGTATTTTAGACAATGCGAAGAAACAAGAAAGGACACAAAGGTTATTAGAATGAGAAACATTCTGAAAATATTGACTTCATATCTCAAAAAATGACTTAGTATCTCAAACTAAGAAACTAAATAAACAAATAATAAAATAACCAATAATACCAAAAATACCATATAATGACTTAGAATTTCATTATTTTGAGAAAGTTTCTCATTATAACGACTTTAACATTTCTTTCTCTCATCACGTTGGCAGAAATGAGTTTCCATAATGAGGAAACTGAAGGAAACAAACATACAACTGAACCTGTGAGAAGGTCCATGTGAGCTGAATGTGTAAACATGCAGAAACCACAGAAACCATATGGTAATGCAATTCATTCTCTGTTTATTATCATATTTTAAATATCTGTTCAGGCAGTTTCAATTAATTTCAGACCAGGTTGTGACAGGATACGATAATCAGCCTTGGATCCATATATACGTATATTTTATATTTGAGTACTTAGACATAAATAGACAAAAGGAGCTTCTGCTTTACATCTATTGTTAACTTTTATCAGGTGTAGTTTGTTTACTATTCAACATTACCACTTTGAGTTGCTTTAAAATCATATTCTGCTCAGTGAAGCTGAATTTCATAATAGAGTCCTAATTAGCAGCACTGGTGGTACAGAAAGGTTTGAATACTAACTCATGTTAACAAGTTTGACTGGTAAGTTCCCTAATCTAAATAAAGGGTCTGGTAAAAGCAGAAGTACTGATTCAACTTCTTTACTCAAGTAAAAGTGAGAAAGTACATCTGAAATGTGCTGAACGTATAAAAGTAAAAAGTGCTCTCTTGGTTTCTCTGAAGGTCATCTTGACTGGCTGGTTAGCTTCACTTCAAACTGTCTCCCACTCTGATCTGTTTTGTCTTGTTATGTCTGTGATGTGTGATATAGACCGGTCTTTATGTTGGGAAGGCGAGCAATGATGCAAAAAATAAAAAATAAAATAAAATAAAAACATAATAATTCCCCTCAAATCCATTAAAACTGAAGTAATTAACCTGTATTGAAAATTAAAGGAGTAAAAAGTACAGATATATGAAACATGTAAGGGGTTCAAGTAAAAACTTGTCAGTTAAAATACTCAAGTAAAGTATAGAAACCTGAAAAAAGACTATTAAACACAGTAACAAAGTATTTGTACTCCAGTACTTCCTTTACCTCTGGCATCAGCTGATGAATGAATGAAAAGTGTTGCCAAGTTCAAGCAGAAAGTTGAGGCACAAACACAAACCACATCCATGCATCCATAAAGTTTAATATAAAGTTCCACAAAATAAAATGACAGGCATTCAAACCATTGCTGTACAAACACACGTCTCTTTACACATGCACAAAGAGAATTAATCCGACACGTTGGGATTCACAAATATCATTCCACACATCGAGAGAGCTAAGAGTCTGTAAAGTCCAGACGTCACTATATTTTAAACTCTACACTCGTGAGCACGATTCAATCACTGCTGATTGGTAGAGAGAGATTGAAGAAACAACGTACACAGACTTATATTATCATACGCTAAGCAATGTTATAACTACAGCCAAGAAAATATCAATTAATAACATGCACATTTCACACGTTTTAAGTTGCATAAAATCCAATGCTGCTGATGAAAACATTTAGAGTATAATAAGAGCTAATGCTGTAAATCATTTTCCTCTGGCTGTGGCGGCTTTAAAGAACAGGTTCGGATGTTTTCAACTCTACATTAACACTCACATGCTCATATATAAATATATATTAATAGTGTATAATAACATATATTAGCAGTTGTTGGTGTCATAATGTAATCATTCCTCGTGTCCATACTGGCCCTTTATAACACAACTACACTGTAAAAGACGGAGGACAGACTCCACAGATCTGCGCTAAAATGACTTCTATAATTCAGCTGAAGTTCATATGAAGCTTTTTTAGAAATATGAGATAAAACAAACTACCTCATACGCTGTGTTATTCTCTTAAATCAGGATGTCTAATGCAGCTTTCATCCACCTGCAACCATGCAACCACTTTTTTTTTTGCATGTAAGCGCTGATATTCATTATTTTTCAGGTAGCTTTGCGTCCTGTAAAGACTAGATTACGTTACGGTCACATTAGCCCTCTGTCCAACAAAACTGCCCTCAGCCTTGAAAATGATGCGAGGTCTGATCACAGACTGTAAACTGTGTGTAAAAGTGATGTTGTTGTAGTTTAATAAAAGTCCCCCCAAAAAAATATGGTCAAACAAAGTTGAACTCTGAACTATAAATGTGCTGCAGGAGATCTAAAGAAACAGAAAACATGAGCTTGAATTAGTCTTCAGTTGAGGAGAGTGAGAGATGGAGCAGATGTAAATACGATAAAACTTCAATTAAAAACTGGTCTCTTTTAGTAGCCTGGTGTGGCTACACGTTTGTACAAATAAAGGCAGGTCTCTATTAGAGGCCTGGTCTGGATTTTATAGCAAATCTTTGGATGTATAAAACCTCTTAAAGCTTAAATATAAATGTTTTAACTTCTGTCAATATTAACATGTTACACATCGTTATATCAGTTAGATTCTCCACAATTCAGTCGTTCAGTTTATTTTACTAAAAACCACGAGCACCAAAGTATGAGATTCATTATTGGTAATTTATACGTTATCCGATCATTCTTATACAATTAATATTCATACTGGTTTAAATAAATTATTTGATTATATTTCCATCTTTGCAGAGCAAGAGGGAAAAGGAATTTAAGGCCTGTTTACAAATAAAGGCAGGTTGACTTCAGTGATTGAAGCAAATAAAAGCCCGATCTGTTAATTGAAGTTTTACAGCATGTTAAAAGTAGAGCTGGACGATGTATCAAATTCATTCAAGCAATTAAAATGTTACTTTTCTGTGTGATGTGTAAAATGTCAACAAGCCGGAAAGCGATTACAACAAGCATAAAAAGGTTATTTTCAGTCAAACGATAATATTAAAGCAACAATGTGTAACTTTTCTACTTTAAAATATGATCTTGATACCACACTGAGTTGGAATAGAGTGAATAGCGTCTCTGTCATTCTGCATCCTGCACGCCCGTTCTGGTGCTTTCTGACTTTTGGTTGCAGGTCGCCACAAATG